GCTGTCCTTCAGCTCTTCAGCTCAAGGCGAGCGCTCTACCACTTGAGCTACAGCGCCACTTCCGGTTTTCTGGTGGTTTATTCGAGATAGGAGTCTCACAGTCTTTCCTGCCCAGGCTGGCTTTGAACCGCGATCCTCAGATCTCAGCCTCCTGAGTAGCTAGGATTACAGGCGTGAGCCACCAGCGCCCGGCTGGGCAAGATAATTTTTATACTAGTTTTGTTGGTTTATTATTAACAATACAGTTAATGCCAAGAAAGATCATATATACCTGTAATCCCAGCACTCAGAAGGCTGAGGCAGGAGGATCACCACAGGTCCAGGTCTATGGAACATAGCAAGACCTGATTCAAGAAAATAAAGCATATGGTTAAGAAATTTTAATAAATTCACTACTCACCTTAAACGCTTAAATAATAAATGCTAGTTGTGGGAGACTTATTTTTCATTAGTACTCTATCATAGCTTTTGAGATGCTATAACTTTATTATAGCAATGATCTGTTATAATAATGTTATAATAAATTAGCTTATTGTTATAAATCACTGCTAATAAGTTAATTTTTGGTGCTTGTGCTATTTTATTACTGCACTTTATAGTTTTTATATAAATATAGGAAAAATACTAAATTTTGAATTTAAAGAAGAAAAAAATCACTTCTATACTTACTAGATTAGCCCATATTTGCTAGAAATTTAGTGTTTGTTCATATAGATATCTAATTTTTAATATATATGCTTTTTTTTCTTAAAAGAAGTGTTCATTATATTTTTACTTGGACTCATAGGAAAAGACAGAATGTCTAATACAGCAATATGAAGACATTAGCCTGCTCAATTCAGAGCGTTATGCCCGATTGGAGCGAGCACAGGTCTTGGTAAACCAGTTTTGGGAAACTTTTGAAGAGCTCAGCCCTTGGATTGAGGAAACTCGAGCACTAATAGCACAGTTACCTCCTCCAGCTATTGATCACGAACAACTCAGACAACAGCAAGAAGAAATGAGGGTAAGGAGCATACCAACTTTAATTTTGTTGTAGAATGAAAATAACCTGGAATTTATTAAAAAAGAACACATTAATATACTACTAATGCCTACTACTAAGTTTTATGCTATAAAATTATTTTTTCTTTTTACAAAAGTACAAATTGTTTCCTTCATTATTTAATATGAATTAATGAATGTAATTACACAAGTGTATTACAAAAATAAAGGAAGAATTAACTAGGACTGGGAGTGTTGCTCATTTGTAGAGCATATGCCTACTAGTGTACACAGGCCATGAACTTAACTCCTAGTACTATTAAAAAAATACTAAAAAAGAATCTAGGAAATTTTATACATTTTTGAGTGTTAGAGTTAGGTGTGGTTGGACCTTTCCAGTTGGTGAAGCACCTGAAGTACAAGTTGTGAAGAAATTATCAGAAAATGTTTGCTGAATGTAATTTGATGAAAAGGAAATGCATATTTTCACTAATACTAATAGCCACTGACAGTGGTTTTTTTTTTAATGTTGATTGTGCTTATAACTAGTCCTGTTTTCCTTTAAGTAAGAGATATGTCCTAGAAGTTGCACAAAAGTGAAGAGTGGTTGGATTGCCAAAAGGGTTTCTAGTCAAAATATCCTGTTTGATGTCTCAATCTGGGTGGTGGGAACAGTATTAAACAATGTAAATTAAAATATAGTTCATAGAAGTATATGTATGTACAGAAGAGATGGGGTTGACTGGTATGACGTCGATGGTAGAGAAGAGAGAGAGAGAGAGAAGGTATGTCCAAGAAGATTTTGAGGGTGATGGGACATCTAAAAGTGGCTTTTGAAAATTAAGAGAATTAGTTAACATGGGTGCCCAAGACTTAGGAGTTTTTTTGTTTGCACATAAGTAATAAAATGCTAGGACTTGCTGGTTTTTTTTTTTAACAATTTAGGTTTTTTTTTTCTTTCAAAGTTGATATTAGCTCTGATCAAAGTGAACTTGTACAGAAAATACTTTTTTTGTTTGTTTGATTTTTTTTGTGTGGTGCTAGAAATCTAAACCTGGGCCTTAAGCATACTAACTTTGTGCTCTTCCGCTAAGCTATACCCTCGACTTCACTCATTAATCCATATTTCTTTCTGTAGCAATTAAGGGAATCCATTGCTGAGCACAAACCTCATATTGATAAGCTACTAAAGATAGGCCCACAACTAAAGGAATTAAACCCTGAAGAAGGGAAAATGGTAGAAGAAAAATACCAGAAAGCAGAAAATATGTATGCCCAAATAAAAGAAGAGGTGCGCCAGCGGGCCCTGGCTCTGGATGAGGCTGTTTCCCAATCTGCTCAGGTATATGTTTGTCTTACATTCTTACAACTTTCAAATTACCCTAGTCTAAACAACAGGTCTGTGTGTCTGGTGTGGGTCTGTACAGAGGAGTGCCAAGACTATAATAGTACATTATTGATAGTGGAAGAAGCACAGTGATAGACTGTGGAGAATTTTATGGAGAATAAAATGTATCTTGGCTACTATGTGTAATTTGTCTCTCAATTAGTAGATGGAGATTTGTAGATCCAAAAGCAGTGATTATCTCAACAATAATCAAATTTCTTTTAAATCTATTACTTTCATTTGATTGATGTGTTTTTGTTTTTGTGCCAGTCATAGGGCTTGAACTCAGGGCCAGGGTGCTAACCATGGGCTTTTTTGCTCAAAGCTGACACTCTACCACTTGCCACAGCTTCACTTCTGGCTATGGTTAAGTAGAGATAAGAGTCTCAAAGACTTTCCTACTTGGGCTGGCTTTCAACCACATTGCTCAGGTCTCAGTCTCCTGAGTAGATAGGATTACAGGTATGTGCCACTGGTGTTCAGCTTCGGCCTATTATTTTTAAGATTTAGAATGACTACACAGTTTTTCTTGCTTAAAAAGCAACCAGTTTAGAGAAAGATGCTTCAGTAGGGAGAAGTAAGCCAAAGACCAGAAGCATAAACCACCAGTCGTGGAGATTGAAGCATGTAACTACATATTTTTCAACTAATAAATAATTGTTAGTGGTACTTTTTGTCATGTCTGGGTATTATAGTCCTTTGTTTAGTCAGTATTCTTGGTTAATATTTGTACTTACTCAAGTTTTTCCCTTCACCTCCCTCCCTTCCCATCTCTCACTCACATTGTGGAATGTGTTACTTTGTGTTGTTGCTGCCTGCTCCTGTCCTCCCCACATCGTCACATTTCATTGTTGTGTTGACCGCGCCCACCATTGCAGATTACAGAGGTAAGGTACCCAGCCCCATTGCTATTAGGATATATTTATAAAGAATGAAAATTGAGGGCATTCCCTCTATGGAAATTTCCCTAGAATAAATTTGATTAGTGGAGTTTATATGATAGTTTCATTAGGGGTGGAATCTAGAAGTGAGGGAGTGGTGGGAAGTAATTTTGTTTTAAGATTTTTTTTTTCCTGTTTGACAATGAAAATTGATAAACCTTATTACTGACATTAACCAATAGTGTTATAAGGAAGCAAACTTACTACATCAGATTATAAATGAGAATTTTATAATTATACTCAGGTTACTCAATGTGCCAGAAAATTGGAAAGGTAATTTTTCTTTTAGAATAAGGTTAGATTTGACCTTAATTACTTTTTGTCATGCCAGCATTTCACTCCCACTGTTCCTTACAGTGGGTTGTTCAATTGCATGCCATTATACTTTTTTTTTTTTTTTTGGTCAATCATGGGGCTTGAACTCTGGGTCTGGGTGTTGTCCCTGAGCTCTTCACCTCAAGGCTAGCACTCCACCACTTGAGCCACAGCACCACTTCCAGCTTTTTCTGTTTATGTGGTGTTGAAGGATCGATCCCAGGGCCTCAGGCCTCATCATGCATGTGAGGCAAGCACTCTACCACTGAATCACGTTCCCTGCCCAGCCTTTCAAACTCCCAAGTCATGTGGCATATTAAGTTCCCCATCTATTTACACAGTTTGTGGTGGGCATCTAACTTGTTGGTCTAGTCTGTTGCATGCAACTATCATCTGAGATGTTGACATACTGACTCTCACCAGTTTCATAGTCTTGTCCCTTTCTCGTCATATTAATTGGAATAGAAGAACCATTGTGACAACATTAGTGATTCAAATTGATGTTTTGCATACTACTTACTATCTTTTGACTCTTAAAAAACTACCTTTTTTTTTTTCCAAATTGCCCAGCGTTCTATATTAAGTTCCAAATTGTGTTTTAGCCAAACGCAACACTTAAAAGCTATTGGGCGAGGCTAAGCACTGCACTATCTATCCTAAACAGTAGTGGCTTTATACCTTATTCTTATACCCTAATGTTTCTCTAAAGCATTTGATAAAGTATTACTGTGCTGGCTAATGTTCCAACTTTATTTAGTTTCATGATAAAATCGAGCCCATGTTGGAGACCCTGGAGAACCTTTCCTCTCGCCTGCGTATGCCACCCCTGATCCCTGCTGAAGTAGACAAGATTAGAGAATGCATCAGTGACAATAAGAGTGCCACCATGGAACTAGAAAAACTGCAGCCATCCTTTGAGGCCCTAAAGCGTCGTGGAGAAGAGCTCATTGGGCGATCTCTGGGAGCGGACAAGGATCTGGCTGCAAAAGGTGTTTGCTGGAGCTAATTTTTTTTTTGTCAGTGTTGTTGGGGTTGAACTCAAGGCCTCAAACTTGCTAGACAGGTACTTGCTGAACCACAGCTGTAACCATAATCTAATTATCTTCAAACAAAGTCAGTTAAATTAATTCCAGGCTGTGGTTATTATCTATAGTATTATATTAGATGTATTTTGTTGAATGTAACAGTTCCCACATATTGGCAAATGAGTATTCTTGAAAGTCATTTGGAAGTCATTTAGAATTCAAAACACATTTTCCCATTGAAACAAGATTACAATTGGTAGCTAGATTCCCAGGCTTGGAAACAAATGCTCCTTTTAACCCCTAATGTGAGTAAGTTACAGTATCAATGGTGGATAGAACATAACTACCTCTTATAACACTTTCTTTGGGAAATGTAGGAACAGAGTTCAACACAGAATACAGGGAAGAAGAGTTCTCATCTCAGCTCTTTAGCAAGCTAAAATTTTTTTTTTAAGCTAAAATTTTTTATCTTACCAGTACCTTTATGTTAGAAGTTTAAAAGATTACATCTGTGATCCCCTTATGTGGAAGATTCACATAAGCAAAAAGTGCTAACATAGAACTAATAGAAATAAAGCTAAGGCAGAAAAAAAATCAGTTACAAATTTTAGAGCTATTTTAAAAGATAGTTTCATTGAGAATGTCAAATTAGATGGAATTTTTGATGAGACTGATTTCAGATACATAGAGAAGTCCCATTCACATCTGTTTATCTCCTCAGAAATCCAGGACAAACTGGATCAAATGGTATTCTTCTGGGAGGACATCAGAGCTCGAGCTGAAGAGCGAGAAATTAAATTCCTTGACGTCCTTGAATTAGCAGAGAAGTTCTGGTATGACATGGCAGCTCTTCTAACCACCATCAAAGATACCCAGGATATTGTCCATGACTTGGAAAGCCCAGGCATTGACCCATCCATCATCAAGCAGCAGGTTGAAGCTGCTGAGGTAAGAAAGAAAAAATTAAAAATTAAAAACCTACATGTGTCCTCTAGCCAAACAGTTTATCTAACTTTTGGGGGTAGGAAGTTATTATAGGACTAAGGATTGAACCCAATTTCTTTTGTGCATGCAGGCACTCCACAGTTTGGGAGAGTTATTTTTATAATACTGAGAATTTAACCCTGGGCCTCATGCATGCTAGGCAAGAACTCCACTGTTTGGGGGAGTTATTTTTACAATACTGAAAATTTAACCCTGGGCTTCATGCATGCTAGGCAAGCACTCTATCACTGAGCTAGCCTCACAGTCCCTAAGCATATCATGTTAGCTTTGAGCAGACTAAGCTAAAAGATTTGTTTCGTGTTTTAAGTTAGCACATTTTTTTACTTGGAAATAAAAATACCTGTTAAGGTGTCCTTAATATAGAAAAACAGTTTGGGGTTTATCATCCAGAGATAACAGTTGTTACTTAAGACATGCCTTTTTCTAGTCTTTTTGAGGAATCTTAGTTTTTATTAGCTTTACTCATTTCATGTTGTTCATTTAGCACAAGCCAAGCCTATCATGCTATTATCTTTCTTGTTTAATTTCAAATATTTTTCAGAAACTGCCCCCATTCTTAATTTTTCTTAGAGTCAGTTCATGAACCACATTGTGTGATCTGAGATAGAATTTACTTTTTTTAAGATTACTTAGCCCAGATAGCCCAGCATTGGTGTGGGTTGGGTAATGCTGGTCTGTCAACATTAACATTTATGACTTGTACTGTGTTATTTAATCCTTGTTTATATACTTCTCTGTAATAAATCTATGTCTGCACATTGTAAACTTGAAGACAGGCAAAGATGAGCCATTGGTAAATTATTATCAGGCATTCCACTTTTCATATACAGTCTGCTTTTGCTCAACTTTTTTGGTGGTTAGTTGAAGAATCTCAGACTTTCCTGCCCAGTCTGGCTTTGAAATTTGATCCTCAGATCTCAGTCTACTGAGTAGCTAGGATTGCAGGTGTGAGCCACCAGGACCTAACATTTTTTTCATTACTGTATGCTCTTTATATTTATGGGAACATATACATGTATGATACACATCAACAACTACTTGGAATAGATGGCTTCACTGTCCAAATAAAATATAAGAGCATTCAAAATCTTTTATGAGGGGCTGGGAAGGTGGCTCAGTGGTAGAGCGCTTGCTTGCATGCATGAGGCCTTGGGTTTGATTCCCCAGCACCACATAAGCAAAAAGAAAAAAAGCTGAAAAGCGCTTGCCTAGCAAGCGCAACGTCCTGGGTTCGATCCCCAGTACCAAAAAAAGAAAAGACAAAAAAAATACAGTTAAAAAAAAAAAGAAAAGAAAAAAAGCTGGAAGTGACGCTGTGGCTCAAGCGGTAGAGCACTAGCCTTGAGCTGAAAAGCTTAGGGACAGCGCCCAGGCCCAGAGTTCAGGCCCACGACCGGACCCCCAAAAAAAAAATCTTTTATGAGTTTGATGGTTCCAGTTAATGTTTGCCCTCAATGGGTATAAGTTGCATTTAGAAGGTTCCATCCTACTTTCTGCTTTGGCTCATGATCTGTTCTTTTACATGTAGACTATTAAGGAAGAGACAGATGGTTTACATGAAGAATTGGAGTTCATTCGGATCCTTGGAGCAGATTTGATTTTTGCCTGTGGAGAAACTGAGAAGCCTGAAGTGAAGAAGAGCATTGATGAGGTATGGAGAATAGATAAGAGTTCAGATGAAACACAAGTGAGCCCTGACTGGAGAGTGGTATTAATAGAACAATCTGATTGAATATTTTTCTCCTAGATGAATAATGCTTGGGAGAACTTAAACAAAACATGGAAAGAGAGACTAGATAAACTTGAGGATGCCATGCAAGCTGCTGTACAATATCAGGACACTCTGCAGGTAAGAGGCTGGTGTTGACCACCAAAAAATATGGGTTCTATTTTTTCTTGATCATTTTCCAATTTTGGTGCAATAGTGGATCACATTGATACCACTCCAACGTTCTCAAACCTAAACCAGTGCTGTTTCCACATTCTTAACCAAAATTTCCACTTCTAGTGAGACTAGTACTGACATATGTCTGAGTTTCTACTCCCCTTGTCATTTTTATACTACATGACACAGTGAAGCTAGCCTTACCACTAGCAAGTCACCAGTTGCTAGAGCTTTCAAACTCAGATTATTGTAAAAGCCAACTTTAGCAATGTTAATCCTGATTCTTTCTCACTTATATATGGTTTTTATTTTTAACTTTTGTTTCTATGTATTTTTATTTTTGTTTCAGGCTATGTTTGACTGGCTAGATAACACTGTGATCAAACTCTGTACCATGCCCCTAGTTGGCACTGACCTCAACACTGTCAAAGATCAGTTAAATGAGATGAAGGTTTGTATCCAGGAATGGTTTTTAAAAAAGAGTTGCTTCTTTTAGTTACTGAAGATTTGTTTTGATGTTAACATTAAATCTGTATTTGGTAGGAGTTCAAAGTTGAAGTTTACCAACAGCAAATTGAGATGGAGAAGCTTAATCACCAAGGTGAACTAATGTTAAAGAAAGCTACTGATGAAACAGACAGGGACATTATACGAGAACCACTGACAGAACTCAAACACCTCTGGGAGAATCTGGGTGAAAAAATTGCCCACAGACAGGTAAGGCAAAAAGTCTAGCATATAAGTGAACTGTAATATGCCCATTTCTAATTTCCTAACAATTTCTCCCTTTCTGTCTTGTTCTGAGCAGCATAAGCTAGAAGGTGCTCTCTTGGCCCTTGGCCAGTTCCAGCACGCTTTAGAGGAATTAATGAGTTGGCTGACTCACACTGAAGAGTTGCTGGATGCTCAGAGACCAATAAACGGAGACCCAAAAGTCATTGAAGTTGAGCTTGCAAAGCATCATGTAAATATTTTCATTTCTCGTTTCCAATTCTTTTTTATTGTTGTTGTTATTGTTTTGTTTTGTTTTGCTAGTCCTTGAACTCATGGGCTGGGCTCTGTCCTTGAGCCTCTTTGTGCTCAAGGCTAGCACTCTCCTACTTGAGCCACAGTACCACTTTCAGCTTTTTTGAGTAGTTTATTGAAGATAAGAGTCTTATAGGAACTTTTCTGCTTGGGCTGCCTTCAAACCATGATCCTCAGATGTCAGCCTCCTGAGTAGCTAGGATTACAGGAGTGAACCACCGGCACCTGCCTCATTTCCAATTCTGTTGGTTAGAGACCAGAACATACTGCCACGGAAGTTTTTTGATGTCATATGAAAATTGAGGAACCAGACTTGATGATATTTTATGTCATAGAGATCATTTATATCATTAAACATTCTTTTAGGTCCTAAAAAATGATGTTTTAGCTCATCAAGCCACAGTGGAAACAGTTAACAAAGCTGGCAATGAACTTCTTGAATCAAGTGCTGGAGATGATGCCAGCAGCTTAAGAAGCCGTTTGGAAACCATGAACCAGTGTTGGGAGTCAGTGCTGCAGAAAACAGAGGAGAGGGAACAACAGCTTCAATTGACACTGCAACAGGTATATGGGTCCCCCAAGTTAGGAAGAGCTGTGCAGATGATACCACTTAGAGAAGGCCCAAGAGGAAAGCCATTTGGGATAGAACCCTCTGTGAACTTGGTATAAAAATTACACTTTTGATTGGATGGTTATTTTTTTTTATTAGTTTGTAGCTAAATCTCTTTTATTTACTGTTATAAATTGGTAGATCTTTTTTTTCTTTTTTGTTGATTGTGGGGCTTGAACTCGGCTTGGGTGCTGTCCCTGCGCTCTTCAGCTCAAGGGGAGCGCTCTACCGTTTGAGCCACAGTGCCACTTCCAGTTTTCTAGTGGTTTATTAGAGATAAGAGTCTCACGGACTTTCCTGCCAAGGCTGGCTTTGAACTGCGATCCTCAGATCTCAGCCTCCTGAGTAGCTAGGCTTACAGGCATGAACCACCAGCACCCAGCAGTAGATCTTCTCTTTAATCAATCATGTTTAGAGATTGACATTTTTCCTGCATCAAGTTAAGTCCCACTGCTCAATAGGGCTTTAGTCCAGTCATCAGATTATATATGACATCTACATGTTCTGAGGTTTGAAGGATTCTGCTAAACCCCTAGCACAACAATCTGCCTTTTTGAAGCAGCTCCAAATTCCTCCCTCACAGTAAATTTCTCATAGAATCATTAGAAAGTTTACTTTTGAAGCTGAGAATTGACTACTGACATTGTTAATATATCTTTTTCTTAGGCCCAAGGTTTTCACAGTGAAATTGAAGATTTCCTCTTGGAACTGACTAGAATGGAGAGCCAGCTTTCAGCATCTAAGCCCACTGGGGGACTTCCTGAAACTGCTAGGGAACAGCTTGATTCACATATGGTAACAGTGATTTCTTCAAGTTGAGAGTATAAGTATCTCACATTCAATAGCCTCTCTAGGTTCCTGGTGATGTGTATATCTTGGAGTCTGCAAAGTAGTTTACCTATATTGTAGTACAACCTTGGGCATTGCTGTTCATCTGTAGGCTTTAATACCCTGCCATGAGTGTCAGTAGTAAAAGAATATCTCAAAATTACTTGGTAAGCTGATAAGTTTTGAGTTGCTCCATTTGGTGGCACAAGAGTATTGCCTAGAAAGTGGGAGCATTACCCAGACAAATATATAGTATAAATGTTTTTATTTAAGACAACTACTCAGTGGAGGTCTATGGAAATCAAAGAAATTCTGACAGTTTTCCAAGAAAGCATAGTGAGAACAGAAGACAACATAATTTCTAGGCAAATCCTTCAGGAAATAATTACTATGGAAGAAAGTTCTAAGTTCTTCTATTTACTTGATTATAAAATTATCTTAATATTAAGAATAATAATGGGTTTTTATTCCCTTACAGCTTATTCATTGAACAGAATAAAAAAAGGTTTGATTTTTTCCAAATGGTGCTAATGAATCTGGGCAAGTGTCTTCCAGGGAATGAGTATTGTTGATGTCTTTTCCTATTTTGTCTTTCAGGAGCTCTATTCCCAACTGAAAGCCAAAGAAGAGACTTACAATCAGCTGCTTGACAAGGGCAGACTCATGCTCCTAAGCCGTGATGATTCTGGGTCTGGCTCAAAAACAGAACAGAGTATAGCACTCTTGGAACAGAAGTGGCATGTAGTCAGCAGTAAAATGGAAGAAAGGAAGGTATCACCACAAAACACTCTTTTAGAAATTTGCTTGATTTGAGCGATTTACTTTGTTTTTCTCCATCTACTAGCTAAGATATAGATTACTGCCTATTATGGTTTAGTGATGGACTTCATATTCCATATTAATAATCAGTTTGCTGGAGGTTATGACTTAGAAGGATAGAGATAGGGCATGTAAGGAGTGCTACTATCAGTTCTCTATAAGAAACTTAGATTCTACTACAAATGTTGCATGCAAAGATTTACTAAGCAAGAGAGAAGTAAATCATATTATCTCTTCCCAATATTTCTTAAAAATGGAGTTACCAGTCGGATAACAGAGGCTCATGCCTGTAATCCTAGCTACTCATGAGGCTGAGATCTGAGGATCGCAGTTCAAAAGCCAGCCCAAGCCAGGCACTGGTGGCTCACACCTGTAATCCTAGCTACTGAGGAGGCTAGGATCTGAGGATCAAGGTTCAAAGCCAGCCTGCGCAGAAAAGTCCATGAGACTCTTATCTCTAGTTAACCACTAGAAAACTGGAAGTAGCACTGTGGCTCAAGTGGTAGAGCACTCGCCTTGAGCTGAAGAGTGCAGGGATAGCGCCCAAGCCCAGAGTTCCCACAACAGACAAAAAAAAAAAAAAGCCAGCCCAGGCAGGAAAGTCCACGAGATTTATCTCCACTTAACCACCAGAAAACTGGAAATGGTGCTGTGGCTCAAGTGGTAGAGCACTAAGCCTTGAGCTGAAGAGCTAGCTCGAGGACAGTGCCCAGACCTAGAGTTTAAGTCCCACTACTGGGAAAAACAAAAAAAACTGAGTTACCTTCTGTCATAGCAGATGAAAGTAATAAAGCATCAAAACATTTGCCCCCTTTCTTTCCTTCCTTCCTTCTGTGCTAGTACTAGGACTTGAATTTAGGTCCAGGGCACTCTATCTTACCTTTTTACTCAAGTAGCGGTCTAGCACTTGAGCCACAGTTCCACGTCTGTATTTTGGGCAGTTAATTGAAGATTAACTTTTCTTTTCAGGCTGGTTTTGAATTGAGAACCTCAGATCTTAACTTCCTGAATAGCTAGGGTTGTAGGCATGAGCTACCAGTTCCTATTTTGCTCTTTCCTTTTCTGAGTTCCTGTCCAATTGTTTCAGTTTCAGACACTACCTTTAAATGTCTCCTTCTTTATAAACAAAGCATATTTGGAGGTAATCTCATTCTATGTTAAATTCATGCCTTTGTCATTGAAACTATAATTGAAGCTATAATTTCTTTGTGTTTTATTTAAAACTCAGTCAAAGCTGGAGGAAGCCCTCAACTTGGCAACAGAATTCCAGAATTCCCTACAAGAATTTATCAACTGGCTCACTCTAGCAGAGCAGAGCTTAAACATCGCTTCTCCTCCCAGCCTGATTCTGAACACTGTCCTTTCCCAGATAGAGGAGCACAAGGTAACTGTGACTTGGGATATTACCTTCCTTTTGGAGGGATTCATGGAAAAGAGTACTCATTTACCTTATTTTAAGCTTAAAAGAACAATGTTGTTTCCTCAGGTTTTTGCCAATGAAGTAAATGCTCATCGAGACCAGATCATTGAACTGGATCAAACTGGGAATCAATTAAAGTTCCTTAGCCAAAAACAGGATGTTGTTTTAATCAAGAACTTGTTAGTTAGTGTCCAGTCTCGGTGGGAGAAGGTTGTTCAGCGATCTATTGAAAGGGGTCGATCACTAGATGATGCCAGGAAGCGGGCAAAGCAAGTAAGTTTTAAAAGAAAGATAGTAATTTATTAAACACCCTTGGGCTGCACACCTTGGATCTCTAGAATAGATGCAAGTTGTATAGTTTGCATATTTACTCCTGTTGTAACTTTTTCAAAAAATTAATTTTAGTTCCATGAAGCTTGGAAAAAACTCATTGACTGGCTAGAAGATGCAGAGAGTCATCTGGATTCAGAACTGGAGATATCCAATGACCCAGACAAAATCAAACTTCAGCTTTCTAAACATAAGGTAAATCAATCAATTCACTCTAAGAAATCAGAGCTAGTTCATAATAAAAGACAATTGAGTAATATTAAAATTTTAGAGTGGCCAGGCACCAGTGGCTCACACCTAAAACCCTACCTACTTAGGAGGCTGAGATCTGAGTATCATAATTCAAAGCCAGCCTGCAAAGGAAAGTCCTTGAGTCTCCAATTAAACTGAAAAAACAGAAGTAAAGGTGTGGCTCAAGTGATAGAGCACTAGCCTTGAGCAAAAAAAAAAAAAAAAATCTCAAAGATAAAGATAGCACCAGGCCCTTACTTCAAGCCCTAAGACTAACACAAAAGAAAAAAAAAAAAAAAGATGAAGCCAGTGTTCCTACTTTTGTTTCCTTGGTTATGGTTCTGGGAGTCAGATCCAGAGTCTTATACATACTAGATAAGTGCTCTACCCCTAGTCCCAGGATTCCATTTTACATCTAGACACTGCCTTACCATTTATATCTGCTCTTTAACAATTTAAACAAAATGGCTTGGGTAGTAACTAACTAAAGATTTAAGTTTTTAGAAGTTTACATTCACTTCCATACATGGCATAGACCAAAACCTGTCATTTTTTGTCTTTTTTTTGTCGGTTGTAGGGCTTGAACTCTGGGCCTGGTCGCTGTCCTGAGCTCTCCAGCTCAAGGCGAGTGCTCTACCACTTGAGCCACAGCGCCACTTCTGGTTTTCGGGTGGTTTATTCGAGATAGGAGTCTCACAGACTTTTCCTGCCTGGGCTGGCTTTTAACTTCAATCCTCAGATCTCAGCCTCCTGAGTAGATAGGATTACAGGCATGAGCCACCAGCACCCAGCTCTGTAACTTTTTCTTTTTTTTTTTTTTGGGTCCGGTAGTGGGGCCTGAACTCTGGGCCTGGGCACTGTCCCTCAGCTCTTCAGCTCAAGGCTAGCGCTCTACCACTTGAGCCACGGCGCCACCTCCGGCTTTTTTTCTTTTTCTTTTTGCTTATGTGGTGCTGAGGAATCGAACCCAGGGCCTCAGGCATGCAAGGCAAGCACTCTACCACTGAGCCATCTTCCCAGCCCCTGTAACTTTTTCTTAAACATAAGCTAGTATCAAGAATCTTTTTTTCCCTTGGTGTTGGCAGTTGACCCCTGGACCTCATGTCATCATTTGGTCTTTAACATGTTTTTATTGTTTTCTTTTTGGAAATCTAGGAGTTTCAGAAAACTCTTGGTGGCAAACAGCCTGTGTATGATACCACAATTAGAACTGGCAGAGCACTAAAAGAGAAGACATTACTTGCTGATGATGCTCAGAAACTGGACAATTTACTGGGTGAAGTCAGAGACAAATGGGATACTGTTTGTGGCAAGTCTGTGGAACGGTAAGCATGAGTATCCTTTAAAAGGGTCTTGATGACTAACTGCTACTAAATTAAAATGGTGATAACCCTAATGGATAGTACAGGTTTTAAATTTAAAGTAGTTATGAAGTAATTAGAATAAAATGTATGAAAAATTCTCAGTTAAAACCTGAGCCTTACTGAATAGCAAGGGAAAGGCCTATAAAATCAAGTTAGTACTAGTAGATTAGTGATTCTTGTTAAATATTTTTAAATTGCCAATTTATAATATCAGTACCTTATTATTAAATGTTTTTACCTATATTCTGCTCAGTGCAAAGCCTCTACATGTATTTAACCATATAATCTCTGAATTTTAATTAGCAGTTACACTAAATATGTGTGCAACAGTGCCTGCTAATCAGTGATCCTCATAAAAACCAGTGAGATAGGTTCTATTATTCCCATTTTGCAGACGAAAAAGCCATCATAAAGAGATTTCGTAATTCTCCCAACATTATTCAGCTTCTAAGTGGCAGAGCTTGGGTCTGAGCCTATGCAGTTCAGTTCTAAAGTTATACGTTCACGCACTACATTCTCTATGCTGTGCTAAATATTATAACATCTCTGTACTCTTGCTTCTCTCAAATCTTTTGAAGAAGAGATTGGGATTCACAGAGGTAAAGAGATGACCTAAGGACACATAACTGGTATATAGAACAGTTGAGCTCCTGACTCACAGACTCACTGAAACTGTCATCCTCTGCTAAACCAACTGTAAAGCAATTAACATAGACATTGGGTTGTTAAAGTATGTCCTGTGTCATTGGGCTATAAGTTGTCAGAAAAATATCGATACATGTCCCCTTTATTTACATCTAAACCATTCTAGAAAAGGTTTGATTCAACATGTCTGGGCATCTCTTTCAGTCTTTTTTTTTTTTTAATTATATTTCTAACTATTCTAATGTGGAAGCCACTCTTTGGATAGAGTTCAAGCAGTATTCCTTTCCAGCTGTTAGAACTGTACGCATAAAAAGAATCAGTAAAAACAATGACATTTACATGCTTTTCTTAGGCAACACAAGTTGGAGGAAGCCCTGCTGTTTTCAGGCCAGTTCATGGATGCTTTGCAGGCCTTGGTTGACTGGCTGTACAAGGTAGAGCCACAGCTGGCCGAGGACCAGCCTGTGCATGGGGACCTGGACCTCGTCATGAACCTCATGGATGCCCATAAGGTGAGGACTTTCATGGAAAGCAAAACCCTAAGGTCTTCTGCATGTGCCCTTTGTCCTGTTCTAACATCTAGAAGAGAAAAAAAGCCTGACAGCTATGTCTTTGTTCAGAGGTACCCCTTCATTTTCTGCATTTAAACCAACTGTTGCTGGGATTCTGCCTCAGTCACAAAGAATTTACCAAAATTGGTTTGATTCAGACTTGGCAATGTATGTACCTTACTTTGAAGTTTTCCCTCTTCCTGTTTGTCTCTGGTTGAGTCACCAATTGAATTTAAATTGAGATGGATACCCTTATATGTTCTACTGAGGCCTACAATGGAAATGAGAGATTTTTTTTAACTATTTTGAACCCATAAGTCTAACACTGAGCACACCACTGTGTAGTATAATCTGTACCTTCCATACTGAGCTGCACAACATCCTGTTTCAGCACAAGGAATTTAATTTTACATTGTATCGAATTCTTGATGTTTATACTAGGTATATGTTCTTATTTATCTCCTATAATTCTGGAAGTTATGTATATTTATATACATATGTATGTATATATGAGGATAAATATTCTCATAGATGTAGAAGCTGTCAAGATAAGTACCTTATCCATGTTCTTTCATACATCTCATTCCGCCTTCCTCTGTGTATAAGATCCATGATTAGACTCTACCAAGGAAATTATCACTTTCCTCCTTGGACTCAATGTTTTATTAGACAAACTTATTCTCCTATCTCCTTTTCTAGGTTTTCCAAAAGGAACTTGGAAAGCGAACAGGTACTGTTCAGGTCTTAAAGCGGTCAGGCAGAGAACTAATTGAGAACAGTCGAGATGACACCACATGGGTAAAAGGACAGCTCCAGGAACTGAGTACTCGCTGGGACACTGTGTGCAAACTCTCTGTTTCCAAGCAAAGCCGACTTGAGCAGGCCTTAAAACAGGTAAGACATGTTTGTTGGATCAACTGAAGCCAGGGATTCTGAACAGATGAATTTTATTTAATTAACAAGACCAGTTCTAGTTAATCTTGAAATGAACATAAAGTTGAAAATTGATGTTCTGAATGTTCTACAAGACTTGAACAGTCATTTGTTTTAAAGAAATAAATCCAGCTGATTTCAGAGGTCTAAAAGTGAAATCTCCTTTATGGAGCTTTGACGGGGGCATCAAGTGCTTATGATACACTAAAATGTTTGCTGAACAGAGAGAAAGATTCAATCCTTTATGGTTGGTTATTTTAGGCAGAAGAGTTTCGAGACACAGTCCACATGCTGTTGGAGTGGCTTTCTGAAGCAGAGCAAACACTTCGTTTTCGGGGAGCACTGCCTGATGACACAGAGGCCCTACAGTCACTCATTGACACCCATAAGGTAATCTAGCCCAGTTGTTTGGTGATCTGTGCTACCCACTAAGATGACAAAACTGTCTACCACTAATGGAAATAATTAGGCCTCATGTGAGAAGCAAAACCAAAGTGTACTTGTTTGTTGGCTCAACACAAATCAGAGGGAAATAACTAGTCATTTTTGTAACACCTTGAAGAGGTGCATTCACTCATTTTTATAATTCATTAAACTAGTGAAACCACATAGTATTCTTAAAAAAAATGCAGATCATTTCCCATCCTTTCTTCTTACTTTCATATATGTCTACATACCTTTCCTTATGTTATTAGGCTTAACCACTAGTCTGATCCCCTAGAAGCCACTTAGCAAGTTGCAGAATATGATACAGTAAATACAGTATCTGGGGCCTTGGTCTACCCTAATGAGGTAGGAAATCTTTTCTTTTTTAATTTTCATGCTACCTGAGCAGAGATTTTAATCTTAGTTTTCTCATTCTGCTGTGGGTATTTAAGAAATATTGTAGTATTTTATTGCTGTCATGTATTTTTTCAAAACAGGTTTATTTACAAATATAGAAATGAACAAAAATGAGATAGCCAGGTGGCTGTGACTTATGCCTATAATCCTAATTACAAGAGGCTGAGACCTAGAGGGTTGAGGTTTGAAACCAACACAGAGAAGTCCATAATTCTCCATCTCCAGTTAGTAAGCAAAACGCCAAATTGGAAGCATGGCTCAAGTTGTAGAGTACCAACTTGAAAAAAACCTGAATAAGAGCATGAAGCCCCTAAGTTTAGGCCCTGATACTGGTACAGTTAATCACAATCAATCAGTCTTTTTTTTTTGGGGGGGTCGTTGTGGGTCTTGAACTCTGGGCCTGGGCACTGTCCCTCAGCTCTTCAGCTCAAGGCTAGTTCTCTACCACTTGAGTCACAGCACCACTTGCCATTTTCTGGTGGCTTATTGGAGACAAGAGTCGCATGGGCTTTCCTGCCCCGGCTGGCTTTGAACCATGATCCTCAGATCTCAGCTTCCTGACTAGCTAGGATTACAGATGTGAGCAACCAGCACCAGGCTCAATCAATTTTTTTTTTTTAATTAAAAATTTCTTTGAAGGGGCTGGGAAGGTGGCTCAGTGGTAGAACGCTTGCCTTGCATGCATGAGGCCCTGGGTTCGATTCCTCAGCACCACATAAGCAAAAAGAAAAAAGCCAGAAGTGGCGCTGTGGCTCAAGTGGTAGAGCGCAGGCCCAGAGTTCAGGCCCCACGATCAGACCCAAAAAAAAAAAATTTCTTTGAAGAGCTAGCTAGAAACTGGTGGTTTATGCCTATAATCGTATCTACTAAGGAAGCTGAGATCTGAAGATCATAGTTTGCCAGTCCAGGCAGGAGAGTCTGTGAAACTTTCATCTCTAAATTAACTACCAATACCAAGAAGAGCTGGAAGTGGAGCTGTGGCTCAAGTGGTAGAGCACTAGCCTTGAACAAAAAAGCTCGGGGACAACACCTGGGCCTGCCCCAGGACTGGCACACTAGAGAGACTAGAATCTGTATCCTTACCTTTTCATTATCTCTAGCAAATTTGTTCTTCTGTACAAATCTCACCTTCCCAAATCTTTAGAACTAGACAGAAAATGTCAGAGGCTCCAAGAAACAGGCTTTAAGAGGCTTGTGTTAACACATATAGAGAAGGGGAAAAAGAAAATGTTTCCCCTTTCAATATGAACTAATAGTTTTGGTAGAGTAGATTCTTAAGTTTTTGTTTTTGACTTTGTTTAGGAATTCATGAAGAAAGTAGAAGAGAAGCAAGTGGATGTGAATGCAGCAGTGGCCATGGGAGAAGTCATCCTGGCTGTCTGCCATCCTGATTGCATCACGACTATCAAACACTGGATCACAATTATCCGAGCTCGCTTTGAGGAGGTGAGTCATCATATACCCAAAGAAATGGAACTACAGGTATCAAATATTACAGTCTTCTTTCCTTTGTCCTTCTGATGAAGTCTTCCCCTCATTATGAATAGCCAAACAAAAATTAATTTAATATTTTAGTAAACTTCTTGGTTAATGTACAGCAAATGGAAGAGTACAGTGATGCGCTAATTACTGGCTTCCATTTTTTGTTTAGCTTCCCTCCTTCGTGAGAAGCCCTGTGTTTTAATAGAATGTGCTGTATTTACTCTCGGAAGAGCTGACTGCTTGACTGATCTTTCCTCTAAATAGTCATTATTTAGATTGGGTGAAAGGGGGCTTTGAAACAAAGGGATGTGCTTAACTGAAAGAGGCCATGGTTTCTTTCTCCCTCTCAGGTCCTGACATGGGCAAGGCAGCACCAGCAGCGCCTGGAAACAGCCCTGTCAGAATTGGTGGCTAATGCTGAGCTGCTGGAAGAACTTCTGGCATGGATCCAGTGGGCTGAGACTACACTCATTCAGCGAGATCAGGAGCCAATCCCTCAAAACATTGACCGAGTTAAAGCCCTTATTGCTGAGCATCAGGTATCCTAATGTCACAGGTGTTTTCTATATAATGCTAGATCCTATTCCCTTTGCCCTGTGAATTTGTATTTTAATTGCTACTACACAGACTAGCTTAAAATAGCCTTCTGTTTTTCTTTGTTTCTGTGAATCAGGAGTCTGGGAATAGGCTAGCTGAGGCTTCTTAGGGTCTCTCCCCAGGCTGAAATCAAGGAGTCCTCCAGAATTGCAGGTCCCATCTTCCAGGCTTATTCAGTTTGTTAACATAATCCAGCTCTCACTGTATCAAGAACAGTTCCCTGCTTCAGATTATAGCCTCAGAGTTCTCTAATTGTATTTCAAAGCTGGCAGGAAGTTGGGCGCTGGTGGCTAAAGTCTGAGAGCCAGACTGAGTAGTCAGTTTAAAAGAATGTCTCCAATTCACCAGCAAAAGAAAACTGGACTGAAGGTGTGAATCAAGTGGTGTAGTGCCAGTCATGAGTGAAAAAGCTAAGCAAGAGTTTGAGGCCCTTAGTTCAAGCTCTGATAACATAAACACTTTCTTTCTCTCTCTCATTCCAACTTTTGTGCCTCTACCTTACCTTACTTTTCTCTCATCTCCTTAACTCTTCCTTTTCAGTCAGCTTTTTCTTCCTCCTCTGAAAACTTATTAATATTGATATGTGCTGAAGTTCCATTCTTGACACTGTTCAATTACTGAGATTTATAGAGTCCAACAGCTTTAACTGTCATTTATACAGCATCATTATCTTCTTCAGTCTAGACATAAAGCAAACTAGAAGTCCTGTCTTTCCCTTTCAAACCTGCCTCTTTCCCTGAAATTTAGAAACCTGTGATATGCCTGGGACTCTGCCTTTCCTTCACATCCCACATCTAATCACAGGGTCTTATCTGTGGAGGTGGGGGTGTGCGTGAGAGAGAGAGACAGACAGACAGACAGACAGAGACACACACACACATACACACAGCAATCCTGGCAGGCCTCAGGCCTGGGCACTGTCCCTGACACACACACACACACAGCAATCCTGGCAGGCCTCAGGGCCTGGGCACTGTCCCTTGACTCTCCCCCCGCCCCCCTCCCACACACACACACAGAGCAATCCTGGCAGGTCTCAGCCTGGGCACTGTCCCTGACACACACACACAGAGCAATCCTGGCAGGCCTCAGGGCCTGGGCGCTGTCCCTGACACACACACACACATACACACACACACACAGCAATCCTGGGCACTGTCCCTGACACACACACACACACATATACACACACACACAGCAATCCTGGGCACTGTCCCTGGCACACACACACACACAGAGCAATCCTGGCAGGCCTCAGGGCCTAGGCACTGTCCCTGAAGTTCTTTTGCTCAAGGTTAGCATTCCACTTGAGCCACACACACACACACACACACACACACACAGCAATCCTGAGCCACACACACACACACACACACACAGCAATCCTGGCAGGCCTCAGGGCCTAGGCACTGTCCCTGAAGTTCTTTTGCTCAAGGTTAGCATTCCACTTGAGCCAGAGCTCTACTTCGGGCTTTTTGGGAGGTAGTTTATTGGAGATAGAGTCTTTTGGACTTTCTTACCCATGCTGGTTTTGAATCACAATCCTCAGATCTCAGTTTCTTAAGTAGGTAGGATTACAGGCTGAGCCACCATTGCTTTTTTTTAAAAAATCTTTAAGACAAGGTCTCACTATGTTTCCAAAACTGGCCTTGAACACATGATCCTCCTGCCTCTGCCTCCCCAGTGCTAAGATTACAGCTGTGTATCTCACCTACTTTCAAAATGCTTCATGACTCCACTTTTCTTTCTCTGGCTCAGACCTTCACTGTGTTTTGCCTCAGTTACTACAGCAATTTGATTTGTTGGGGTTTTTTTTTGTTTTTTGGGGGTTTTTTTTGGGGTCTGGTCGTGGGGCCTGTACTCAGGGGCTGGGCGCTGTCCCTCAGCTCTTCAGCTCAAGGCTAGCACTCTACCACTTGAGCCACAGTGCCACTTCTGGCTTTTTTCTTTTTGCTTATGTGGTGCTGAGGAATCGAACCCAGGGCCTCAAGGCATGCAAGGCAAGCGTTCTACCACTGAGCTACCTTCCCAGCCCTACAGCAATTTGATAACCTTATCTCCATATTACTTGTCCTTACCTGCTTCTGCTCTCCCATCAACTCTGCCTTCTGCTCTTAAAGCATAGACCTGATTATGTCTCTTCCATGGATCAAAATCCTGTGATTAGTCCCTGCCATTCTCAGCATATCCCAGTCTCTTAGTTTGACATAGTCCTTTTGGGGTCTTTCACTTCCTGTCTTCTAATTCCACCTTTCTACTTCTCTGACTATATTTTCTGCTAAACCAGTGAGTTTCACAGCAATGTCAAACTTTTTGACTCTCCCTAAACTCTGTCTGCTAGGATTGCCAGCCCCCCTTCAGGTTTTTTGCTGAATTCTTCAACCCTCAGTAACTCAGCCTAGGCATCAGGCTGTGAGTTACTTGTCCCAGGTCTTCCCTTGACATCTGTATGGCATTTAGTAGTCTGAATTCTTGATTTCAAGTCACTCCACTATGAACATTTAGGTTTTAATCACTTGATAAAACCCTTAGTTACATTTCTTAAAAAGAGTGAGATGAAGCCCACGCAGCCAATTCGGTGAGACTCCTATCTCCAATAAACCATCAGAAAACCGGAAGTGGTGCTGCAGCTCAAGTGGTAGAGCGCTAGCCTTGAGCTGAAGAGCTGAGGGACAGCGCCCAGGCCCAGACCATGACCAACCAAAAAAAAAAGGGAGACAGATGCAGGGCCATCTGTTACTTGAGCAGTCAGATTGGGCTTGCCCTTAATGAAAAGGTTCGTATTTCCATTTCTCTTCCATATTTTTCTTTTTTATGTTTAACAGACATTTATGGAGGAAATGACACGCAAACAACCTGATGTGGACCGGGTCACGAAAACATACAAAAGGAAGAATGTAGAGCCTACCCATGCTCCTTTCATCGAGAAATCTCGCAGTGGTAGCAGTATGTTTCCAGTCCAAATGTGCTAGGTTTCTTCCTTCCTGCTCTTTGAAAATGAGCCCTCCTCCCATACACAAAGGAAAAGGAAGAAAGAAAGACTGAAGTACAGAAAGAGAGAGCAAGGGAGAGAGAAGGAGAAAGATCACTTTCAAAGTGCCTATCAAAAGAATTACAGGGCTGGGAAGGTGGCTTAGTGGTAGAGCGCTTGCCTTGCATGCATGAGGCCCTGGGTTCGATTCCTTAGTACCACATAAGCAAAAAGAAAAAAGCCGGAAGTGGGCTCTGTGGCTCAAGTGGTAGAGCCCTTGCTCGCCCTGAGCTGAAGAGCTGCTCAGGGACAGTGGCCAGGCCCAGAGTTCAAGCCCCACAACCCACAAAAGAAAAAAATAGAATTAAAATTTGATTTTCAAATACATACTAGATTTTTAACAAAAATCTTTAATTGAAATTCACTCTTCTAGTGCCAGCAGACCAACTATACTCTTTATTTTCTCAGATTGGTATGAAATTTCAAGGTACTGTTGTGGTCATTAGTTTTAGCTATATACATTTAGTTTACAGTAAGTTAGCTGTAACAAAAATCAGCACCTATAGAATTCCCCTGCTTCTTTTTTTTTTACATCAACTTTATTCTCAGAGCAACCTGTGTGAATTAAAGCCTCACATTGCCAACTTTGTAGTAATCATATTCCTTCTTACATGTACCAAAATCTCTTATCAGCAATGAGTTCTGGGTTGCAAAAGAGGATTTACTAAGGTTTTGTTACAAATTAAAGACACACACAAGTGCTCTTCCCCTGCTTCTAATGGTTGAGTTGACATGTCCTCAGTTCACTAAGTAGGACAGAATTGGTTAGAGATGTGTAGGAGACAGGTAAGTACTTGTATGCTAGAAGGAGGACCAGTAACTCTGGAATCAGTACACTCCCGTACCTAAATGTTGCCAAGTCCCATGTTTCTTTTCTCAGTTATTGGCTGGATATCATTATTAACTTCTCTTAAAATTCACACATAGAGCTATTTCTCTGTGGACTGACAAAACCAAGGTTTCTAATGTTGTGATTGTTTTTGCTTTTAGGAAAGTCCTTAAGTCAGCCCACACCTCCTCCTATGCCAATCCTCTCACAATCTGAAGCAAAAAACCCACGGATCAATCAGCTCTCTGCCCGCTGGCAGCAAGTGTGGCTGTTAGCACTGGAACGCCAGCGGAAGCTGAATGATGCCTTGGATAGACTGGAGGAGGTAATGGCTTTAATGAGTGGTCTTCAAGTGTTTTTGATGCCCTTTTGGTCTGACCTGTGTGCCTTTACCTATCCAGAAGTAGAATCAGACCTGTGCTAGTAATCCTTCAAACCCCAAAGTGAGAAAAGACATTTTAAGAAAACCTTTCACAAAAGAGGTTGTTACATCTGGTGATGGAAAGCAAAAAAGGGTCAGGCCTGTGGCCCAATCCTCAAGACCTTTCTGTGGCTGATGATGATGAATGTAACTATAAAGCTTACCACAGAAATCGTCATTAAGCCATTCATGTAAAGATAGAGAAATAATGCTATATGATTATGAAATAAGAGTAAATTTTTAGCCAGGCGCTGGTGGCTCACGCCTGTAATCCTAGCTACTCAGGAGGCTGAGATCTGAGGATCGCGGTTCAAAGCCAGCCCGGGCAGGAGAGACTGTGAGACTCCTATCTCCAATAAACCACCAGAAAACCGGAAGTGGCGCTGTAGCTCAAGTGGTAGAGCGCTCGCCTTGAGCTGAAGAGCTGAGGGACAGCGCCCAGGCCCAGAGTTCAAGCCCCACGACCAAAAAAAAAAAAAAAGAGTAAATTTTTGTTGTGTTCATGTGGCACCATAAAATTGAATGATACCGAAAAGTTTAGTGTGGCCCCTGTGCAAAGATGACATGTAAATTTGTGAAGTATTATTTTTGGGGGGTTGGTTGTAGACTTGGGCTTGAACTCTGGGCCTGGGTGCTCTTTAGCTCAAGGTGAGCACTCTACTACTTGAGCCACAACACCACTTCCAGTTTTCTGGTGGTTAATTGGAGATAAGAGTCTCACGGATTTTCCTTGCCCAGGCTGGCTTTGAACTGCAATCCTCAGATCTTAGCTTCCTGAGTAGCTAGGATTACAGGTGTGAGCCACCAGCTCCTGACTCCTTTTTTTTTCTTCTTAATTAATTGCCCACTATCTGGTTACTGCTAGTCTTCAGTAGGTCTATTTCTAAGTGTCCAGTTATTTTTAAAAATATGGTACTACCTAGTTTCTGAAACAAACCTCTAATGTCTTTTATATTCTTTTATTTGTGCATATCAAAGCAGCTATGCCTGGAAGTGAGTGTTCTGTGTTTTTTTTGTTGTTGTTGTTGTTACTTCTAAAGGCCAGTTGAATTTTAAGTATATCTATTCTGGTGCTTTGTTTCCCCCCTTCCTTCCAACTTTGAAAGACTAGGGGAAAGAAAATCTCCAATATATGTTGGTGAATCTCCAACATAATCCAAGTAGCTGAAAATTGCTCTCCTCACTACACAAGCCAAACATTTAACATATATGTCAGGTGGGCAAAAGTCTCAGAGAATGGTGGGAAATACAAGTTTCCTGATATGGGCTATATGTATAGAGCCTTTCAAAATAATATGACAGCTGTGTGGTGAGACTTCTTGGAATAGAACTTATTCCCTTACCTCTGTGGTGATGACCTTTGGAAAAGCCCAAAGGGAAAGCAAGGCTGACTCCACCCATTCTCAGTCTATGTACTCTGTGTTTCCCACAATGTTTTCTCAGTTACTGTTTTTCCTGCTGTTGCATTCTACCAAAGCTCATGTAAATGGTTGTAGCTTTACATGAAGAAGCAAGATGTGCCTTCACAAATGAGACAATGTATAGATAGCATTGTTGGTGCCCCCTGGAAGGCCTGCATGGCTTTACGGAATGTCTCAGAGTTTGGGTATGCTCTCGGAAGCTTTGAGAATCCAGAACAATAGGTATTACTAACATTTGCTTTCTTTCTAGTTGAAGGAATTTGCCAACTTTGACTTTGATGTCTGGAGGAAAAAGTATATGCGTTGGATGAATCATAAAAAGTCTCGGGTCATGGATTTCTTCCGGCGCATTGACAAGGACCAGGATGGGAAGATAACACGTCAGGAGTTTATTGATGGCATTTTAGCATCCAGTAAGTCTAGTCATAATTCCAAACATGAGTCACACCTGGATTTCTCACACCTTTATTTGTGTGTACACACCTGCATGCAAATTTACCAGTAGGGTTTGAAGTGTCTAGCTTGGCTTTTTGCTCAAGGTTAGCTCTCTACCACTTCAGCCACATCTCCACTTTTCTTGCACTTACTTTGTAAAAATTATAATATTCTGGCAAAATAGTCTTTTTAAGCAAAAGTCAGGATGAAGTGGATAAGTAAATTAAGATGAATGGCAGGACTACAGGGGACTGTAATATTTTATACCTTTTTTGGTATATTACGTAAGGGTAGGAGAATACATAAGCAGATATGCTCATCATTACAATGAGTAGTCCTTAGATGTTATCATTTTGGAATGATTTTTAGCTGTATAATTTAAATTTCCTGAGTTTTCTAAAGTAAACTGTTGGTTTTCAAGTTTTAAAAAATTATTTTACCATATTTTTTCTTTCAATTATTCACATACGAACTAAATAAGCCTTTTTAATGTTTTAAATTGTTTCCTTTTGCTAGAATTCCCTACCACTAAGTTAGAGATGACTGCTGTGGCTGACATTTTTGACAGAGATGGAGATGGCTACATTGACTACTATGAATTCGTTGCTGCTCTCCATCCCAACAAAGATGCTTATCGACCAACAACTGATGCAGATAAAATTGAAGATGAGGTATGATAATTACTATGACCATATTATTTACTATAGATTTATTATTGTCCTGGATTAGGTTGGGTGCAGTTACCATATCAGTGCTTAGACTCATCTGTGATTATTGGGAATTCTGTTTAACTTTCAGGTGGTAAGTCAAAGGACCCCAAAGTGTCTTTGGCTACTGGGCTCTATCTTGGGCTAGTCTAGATAGATTGCCATTATATCTATGCTTCTCTGAAGTCCACATAGGATCTTTCCAGGGAATTATTCTCTTCCTGGTTCATAGGTACCATGTCACTTAGGATGGACTTTCTCAGTCCTGAGCATCCTACTTCATAATTCAGGAATGAGGTTTTCAATGTAGTATGCATCAAGCATTTTCTCATTAAAAACCATATCTTGTCGAAAATAGCAAATTCATTAGCCCATAGAAATTTCAGTATGTATTAGGAAGGGAGGAGAGCCAGTCTTGGGAGTTAGCTTGGTATACAAAAATGCCAACTGCTTAGGAAATTTTGATCAGTTCATAATTAGCTTTATTAATTACTTGATTTTCATGTAGACATATTAGCACTATCCTCTAAAGGAATTTTGAAGCAGGATGGGAGAGTGGTTTTTTTTTTTGTTTTTTTGTTTTTGTCAGTCGTGGGGCTTAAACTCTGGGCCTGGGCGCTGTCCCTCAGCTCTTCAGCTCAAGGCGAGTGCTCTACCACTTGAGCTACAGCGCCACTTCCGGTTTTCTGGTGGTTTATTGGAGATAGGAGTCTCACGGTCTCTCCTACCCGGGCTGGCTTTGAACTGCGATCCTCAGATCTCAGCCTCCTGAGTAGCTAGGATTACAGGCGTGAGCCACCAGCGCCCGACTGGGAGAGTGTTTTATATAGTTCCTGAAATTTTTCTTTGATATAATTTTTTTCTCTCAATGTCCCTTTTATCTCAATAAAAGCAGTGTGTTTTTGAGTAAAAGATAAATGCGTGTGTCAAGAACATGAAATGCCTGAAGAATAATGAATGGCTTTATTCATTCTCTTCACATTTTTAAAAAATAACATAGTTTCTCTGACTAGAAAGTTTTTCTCTGCCCTTTACACTTTCTTTTTCTCTTCTGTTATTGTTTTCAATCAATAGGTCACAAGACAAGTGGCTCAGTGCAAGTGTGCAAAAAGGTTTCAGGTGGAACAGATTGGAGAGAATAAATATCGGGTAAGAAAAGGGGAACAAACAAACAAAAAACATTCTCATAGTGGTGGTTCCCTTCTGTGCGGTCCTTGAAAGCAACTTGACATATAGCAGACATAATTTCACCTTCTCAGCTGGTACCCAGAGCCCATGGATTAGAGATATAGTCACTGTTTGATTCTCATCTCTGGATGTCAAATGTCAGTATCCTACTAGTGCTTTACATAGTACCATCTGAAAAATTACCATACTTACCTAAACAGTAACTGTTGACAATAAGAGACATTTAAAAACCCTTGCCTCTGAGCCAGCTGAAGTCTTCAGGGAGAGACCTTTAGAAAGCACTTTCAGAAACAATTATATCAAATGACTGATGATTAAACCCCAGAAAGCTAGTCTTCATGAACCTGAATGTCTTCCAGGATCAGATGGATAGAGAAGCTGTAGAGATTTTTTTTTTTCTTAAACTCTGGCTTAAACTCTGGGCCTGGGCACTATCCCTCAGCTCTTCAGTTCAAGGTGAGCGCTCTACCACTTGAGCCACAGCACCACTTTCGGTTTTCTGAGTTGCTTTTTGGAGATAAGAGTCTCACAGACTTTCCTGCCCTGGCTGGCTTTGAACCACAATCCTCAGAGCTCAGCCTCCTGAGTAGCAAGTAAGCTGTAGAGATTCAACAGATTGTACGCCTTCTCTGAGGTAGGCCACAGATGGGGAGCCAAGCTCAGGGGTCTTCTCTAGAAAGACCTGCTTGGTTTGGCTATGACTAATAGTAAACTATACTTTTTTTTTAAATTGTGAATAGCCTCAAGAATATAGGAGGGAGGGATCCAAATAGAGTCCCTAAAGTATATTCAACAGCTTATTGGGGTTCCTTAAAGTTCTAAGAAAAGTTTGATTGGCAAGGAGAATTTAGATGGCCATATTTGATTGGTACACAGGAAAATCCAGATTCCATTCTTCAAAAAAGTTCTGAGAAGCTGTTCGTTTATGCCTGTAATCCTAGCTACTTAGGAGGCTGAGATCTGAGGATTGTGGTTCAAAGCCAGCCCGGGCAGAAAAGTCCCCATGAGACTCTGATCTCCAATTAACCACTCAAAAACCAAAAGTGGTACTGTGGCTCAAAGTGGTAAAGTGTTAGCCTTGAGCAAAAGAGCACAGGGACGGTGCCTAGTCCCTAAGTTTAAGCCCCATGACAATTAAAAAAAAAAAGTTCTTAGAGTACATCAGGTAAGCTCTGTGCCAATAGCTGAAGAGTATTGGGTGACTGTCTTGAATCTCACCTAGAGCATTTAGTTAGAGCTCCAAGTAATGCTATACTTGCTTATTGGGTTTTGTTTTCTTGGTTGGTTTTTGGGTTTTTTTAGGGGGGGTTTTGGATTTGTTTTTGTTTTTTTGTTTTGTTTTTGTAATTGCCTAAGAGAAATGAGTTGCTAAGAATAGCAGTATATTGCAAAATCATATTCCCATGGCAGGCGTTTGATAGGAATATGGTCAGTGTATATATTTGGAAGACTGGTAACATGATGATATGATTTTTATTCCTTAGTGTTTGACAAAATGTTCTCTTTTTTTCCCTCCATCCTTTACTCTTACTGTCTATAGTTCTTCCTCGGCAATCAGGTACAGTTTGCCTTGCAATGTCCTTCTCAGTGGATATGGTCTTTGTAGCTGATGCTGCCTGTTCTTTGCTGTGGGGAGAGGACATAATCTGAAGCATGCCTGGGTCACATCTGGTGGTCTTACCAAGTGGAGAAAATGCTAATAGAGCTGGTATCTGAAAGCTGCCTCAGCAGCAAAAGCATACAAGTATACTTTTTTAAAAAATCAAGATAAAGTTTTCCATTCAAAATTAGGTTAACTAGAAGTCATGTTGTGCTATGTTGAGTTATAAGTAATACAATTTAGGAAGTTAAGCCTGTGGGATCAATCCATTCCACTTGTAAAATGAGCCAGGCCTTGTACTTCAATATTGTGAGTCAGAAAACCCTCAGCCCAATTGTGATTCATACCAGTTTTTGACAGTTAACATAAACTTTGTAATTTACACAGAAAATCCTGAAGTATTTTAACACTGTCTCCTTAAGTACTTCCTTAATATTTATATTATGTAGAGTTATATTTTATAATGATAAGGAACCTGAGAAGTATGGTATAGAAATCATAATTGGGCATGGCCTGAAGTTTGCTAATTATGGCCAGCCAGAATCTAACAGGACCTAATTATACTTCTGTGAAAAATTGGAAGCCTTGGCTCCGCTTGGTAACTAACCTCTCAGATCTTTTTGAGGGCTCTGGGGTGCTATGCCTTCAAATGTAAAAGGAAATTGCATGAGTAAAATCTGTCTCTCTGATGTGAAATTAGAAACACTAAGAGTTAATTTGAGACTCAATCTATGTTAAGTTCACTGGAATAATCACTAACTATAGTAATATTCTGGTCCAATGGAAAGAATGGGATAGAAAAATCTAAAGATGAGAGGAGTCAAGTTGGCTTTAAAATAGACCATTGCAAGGCAGGCAAGGTGGCAGGAGACTCTAATTTTAGCTACTTGGGAGGCTGACACAGAACTGAAAGTTTGAAACCAGCATAGGCAATTTAGTGAGACCCTATCTCAAAAATAGAATTGCTGGGAGCTAATGGCTCATGCCTGTAATCCTAGCTGCTCAGGAAATGCTGAGATCTGAGGGTCATGGTTCAAAGCCAGCCCAGAAATTTCATGAGACTCTTATCTCCAATTAACCAGCAAAAAGCTGGAAAAGTGGACGTGTGAATGAAGCAGTAGAGCACCAGCCTTGAGCAAAAATGCCAAATTAGAGTGTGAGGCCCTGAGTTTAAGCCCCAGTACCAGCACCAAAAGTAATAAACATAATTTTTATCTGGGCACTGATGACATCCTGTTATCCTGTCTGCTCAGGTGGCAGAGATCAGTATAGCAGTTCAAGCACAAAGTTTACATGACTCCATCTGAATAGAAAAACCTAAACATGTAGGGGATGTTCCTATTAGCCCATCTACTGTGGGAATCATAAATAGGACAACATAACAAAAAGTGAGACTCTAATCTCAGAAATTAAAAGGGCTAGAGTCATGACTCAAGCAATAGAGCACCTACTGTCAAGTGTGAAGTCCATTACCACAAAAATAATAATGCTATTATTATAGCTTGGTGGCAGAACACTTGCCTAGCATGTGTGAAGTTCTGGATTTCATCCCCAGCACTGCTAATTAAGCAATTAAACATTGCAGTCAAGTGCCCAAGCATATCTGCCTTCTGATAGCTATGCGAGTGCTTGGGACCCTTCTCCATTGTGCCATTGACCAGGAAAGTGCCCAATAAGGTGTTCTAATTTTGCAAACAGAGCTATGAAGTTCACTTTAGTTTACAACTCAGACTTCACATGCCACTGTCAAACAGCTGATGTAAGAATCCAAGCTCCTGGGCTGGGAAGGTGGCTCAGTGGTAGAGCGCTTGCCTTGCATGCCTGAGGCCCTGGGTTCGATTCCTTAGCACCACACAAGCAAAAAAAGAAAAAAACCGGAAGTAGTGCTGTAGCTCAAGTGGTAGAGCGCTAGCCTTGAGCTGAAGAGCTGAGGGACAGTGCCCAAGCCTAGAGTTCAGGCCCCATGACCAGACTCCCCCCGCCCCCGCCCCCCAAAAAAAGAAAAAAGAATCCAAACTCCTATGAGACAAGGAAACAATGTTTACTGGCCCTCAGGACCCTGGTTCTGAGTTCTCAGATTTTCTTACACCCTGTTCTGTATTTCTCATTTTTAGAGGTGCAGTAACTCTTCCACACTCATCACTCTGGTCTCAGTTTCTCCAGCTGCAGTTGTTCTGACTTCAAATGCTTTGGATCAAGCCTCCATTTTCCAGAGCTCAGCAAATCTTTTTTTTTGGGGGGGGGATCCGGTTGTGGGGTCTGAGCCTGGGCACTTTCCCTCAGCTCTTCAGCTCCAGGCTAGCGCTCTACCACTTGAGCCACTTCCGGCTTTTTTTTTCTGCTTATGTGGTACTGAGGAATCGAACCCAGGGCCTCATGCATACAAGGCAAGCAATCTACCACTGAGCCACCTTCTTAGCCCCTCAGCAAATCTTTTAACCAGATCTTCACTGAGAAATTAAAAGCAAAACAATTATGAGATAAATGCAGTAATACACCAGAAGACACAGTAATCCAAGAAAAAAGAACTCTAGGGTTCTTTTGTTCACTCAGGGAGACACATAAGTACATATCCTTCCCTCCCCTCAACTATCCAGAAAAAAACCCTAGTGCAGTGTTACTGCACTTATGTCTGATGAAATCTCAGTAACACCTAGAACCTGCCCCCTCCATGACAACAGCATCAATCCTCGGAGAAGCAATGCTGTAGGTAATGCTGCTGCTTCTGCTCCATGCTTTCACTCACTTACATAGAATTTTTATTTGGGGGGGAGTCCGGTCGTGGGGCCTGAACTCTGGGCCTGGGCACTGTCCCTCAGCTCTTCAGCTCAAGGCTAGCACTCTACCACTTGAGCCACAGCACCACTTCCAGGTTTTTTCTTTTTGCTTATGTGGTGCTGAGGAATCGAACTCAGGGCCTCATGCATGCAAGGCAAACGCTCTACCACTGAGCTACCTTCCCAGCCCTTTACATAGAATTTTTAAAATTATATAGTTGAGTTGGGGATGAGCTCATTGGAACAGCTCTTGCCTACTAGCAGTGAGGCATGTTGGGCCAGATAAGACCCTTGAAATCATCTGGCACATGATGTGATAAACATATTCTTCTCATTGGCTGCCTGTAGCTCATCTGACTGCCTGTACTGATAATTTTGTATGACCAAGAATGATGTTATAAATATCCAAATGGCCCTTAACTGCAAAAAGGTTCCTACCCCTACTCTAGACTCTTGATTTAATCCCCAGGACTTCCAAAATTTAAAAATTCCTGTCAAATGAATCATGTAAGATTATTAGGTTTCAAAATATATGGCTAGAGAAGGAGGGGGGACAGTGTTTTTCAGTCTCCCTGTCAATACAAATAATGCATTTGAGTCAGCACAAAAGTATGGAGAATTATCACCAATTCATTAATATTGAAGAAGGATGGTTATATGCCTTTTCAGACATCCTTTCTCACATTTGCAGTCAGATTTTCTATTTTTCTGCTTCGTTTCAAAGTTATGACTCTAAATGAAAATCCTAACTAGATGATTAAATAGTCCCTTTACCACCTCTCTAGGACCATTCCCTTAAAATTTGCATTTCTTTTCTTTTCTTTTTTGGTCAGTTGTGGGGCTTGAACTCAGGGCCTCAGCATTGTCTCTCAGTTTTTTGGCCCAAAGCTAGCACTCTACCACTTTGAGCCACAGCTCCACTTCTGGTTTTCTGGTGGTTAATTGGAGATAAGAGTCTCATAGACTTTCCTGCCTTGCTGGCTTTGAACCGTGATCCTCAGATCTCAGCCTCCTGAGTAGCTAAGATTACAGGTGGGACTGCACCAGCACTGGGCTAAAATTACATTCCTTTAACTATGTGTTTGATGTTTGTTTTGGAATTTTGGTATACTTGTCTTTTGTTTCCTTTTCATTCTGAGAAGAGGGTGATTTATACAATGGGAAAGGTAGATCTGGGAAGTAGTAATGTTAGGCAAGAAAAAAGGGGGGAAAAAGTAACAGAAGAGCATGTATGTGAGCCCAGTGTAGTGCTGCATACTATAAACCCAATAATTCAGGACGCTGAGACAGGAGAATCTAGAATTCAAAGCTGGTCTGGGCTACTCAGCAATTCTGATTCCAGAAAAAAAAAATCATGCTTGTTGTAAGATACTAAGAATGATTATGGGGCTGGGAATGTGGCTTAGTGGTAGAGTGCTTGCCTAGCATGCATGAACCCTGGATTTGATTCCTCAGTACTACATACACAGAAAATGCTGGAAGTGGCTCTGTGGCTCAAGTGGTAGAGCGCTAGCCTTGAGCAAAAAGAAGCTCAGGACTGGCAAAAAAAAAAAAAAAAAGATTTAAGGTTATGATAGGAGATTAAAATTTTTATTTCATCTATGTTACCTAATCATTTGTCTAGCTAAAGAAAACCTTTCTGCTGGTGTAATCACAAATAGAAATACTTAGGTTTCACTGTGAAAACTGGATGCAGAAAGTATCAAATTTTCTTCTAACTTTGTAATGATGCTTTGCAAAGGTTTTCTTCATGCTTGATTCAGTATTTTCTCCATTTAATTTTTGAGCACACTGTATTCAGAAGTTGATAAATACACATACACCCTTTAAGCTTTACAACATGGGGTGCTACAATTTGGGCAGAATCTTTAAAAGAATAAAGTGAGCAACATTTGTTTATCTTCTTCCTCTCCTTTTGGTACACAGAGCTGGCATTTTCCTAGTCGAAAGTATTTGAAATATATTCTAGTCTGAACCAAGCTCTCTTTTTTTTCTTCTTGTGTTGAGGATCTAGCCCAAGGTCTTGCACATTAGGAAGTAAGTGTTCTATCACTGAACTACATTTATAGCCCTCAAGAAGGCATATCTGTCACTTGGTGTTTCTGCCAACTCTTCAATAAAAAAATTTAAAAAACACACACAGAGACAAAAAAGAGAATTTAAGATTTTTCTCCAAACTGTCATATTGACCAGGCCAGTAGCTCACAACTGTAATCTTAGGTACTCAGGAGACCTGAGATCCGAGGATTGCAGTTCAAAGCCAGCCCAGGCAAGAAAGTCCATGAGACTCTCATTTCCAGTTAACAAGAAAAAAAAAAAAAAAAACAGAAGTGGAGCTATGGTTCAAATGATTGAGCACTATGGCTCAATTTCTTGAGAAAATTAATTAAAATAAAAAATTAATACTATCATTCCTATCTGAATACAGTCTGCTTTTGGGGAAAAAATAGAGATATGCCTTAAGGCATACTCATAAACTAAGTTTCCCTTTATTCTACAGTTTGGGGATTCTCAGCAGTTGCGGCTGGTCCGTATTCTGCGTAGCACCGTGATGGTTCGAGTTGGTGGAGGATGGATGGCCTTGGATGAATTTTTAGTGAAAAATGATCCCTGCCGAGGTAAGAAAGCATTTTGTTTATTGTTCTGTTGTTAAGGTGTGCAGGTGTCCTCTCATCTAGCCCAGGGCTTCAGGAGGAGAACACAGGAATGAGAACTATGATTGTATTAGTATCATCCAAATGTTGCAGTTTGGAGCATTATGTTAACACCAGTCTGGTGAAGAGCCTGACGTAGTCCTTTAGGTTTTTCTCTCAGATGCCTTAGCCTGTAATACTTATGGCTGAAAATCAGGGAAAGTATTGGGTCCTTCCCATATAAGAAAGGACTAGTGAGCCCCCTTGACCAGGAGGAGGTTCAGGATATCTGTCAGCAGCCCAGACACTTCTATGACACATGGTTGCCTAAGCAAGGTTGAGAAACACCTTCTGGCTAGGCATGAAAAGGTGCCCACCAGCCAAAAAATCATCAACTTAAATCCAAGCAGCTAGAAGCTAGGGCTGCAGCAGGGCACGACCAACCAAATCCCTCATCACTAAATCCTGCTCGGCTACATCCTCTCCTTCCTCCTGTAGCAGAGCTGCATGTGGGTGTACTGGAGGCTCCTCCACTCTCTGCCAGTTTGTCTTTCTTGACTGGTTCTATGTTTCCTGCTCTCTCTGTTTCTTTGTGTTTACTTATTTTTTATTCTAGTTCACCATCCTGGGAGTAAAATAAAGCGCTCTGATTCCAGCTCTTCGGTTTCCAGCCAGTCTCCCATAGGTTGGCTCTTAAGCTGTGTCCCTCTTCCTCCCCTACCCCTTGAGAATGGCTTTGCTTTCTGAACTGAAACAACTTGGCTCTGTGATAACCTGCTGCCTTGGTGAATGCTTGAGACAGCCAAACCTCTGCTTTTCCAACTGCTTTGTTGACAGAGTATGAAATGTTACTACTGAGACCCCACCCACAGAATTTGTTTTGAGTTCCTATTAACAAATACTTCTATACCATAGATATTATACACAGTTATAAGCACTTTAAACATTTGTGCCCTCATACCTGTGCCTCACTGCCCTATGAGGTATAGTGTCTCCTTTTTATAAAATAGGAAATTGAGGTATATAAAATTTAAATAAGTTGCTCAGGGACAGGTAGACAATAAATAGCAGAGGCAAGATTCAAATCCAAGTCAGCCTAGCTCTAGGGTAGGTCCTCCTAGCCTCTATGCTGTGTTTCTCAGAGGCTCATATGCCCTCTTATTGTGTATATATCATTAAACCAGTCTGCAGAATTAAATTATTAGCACCATTATTTATAAACTCAGAAATAAATACGTTTAGTACAGTTATATAACCTCTTTGGAAGTGGTTTCTTGTCATATTCTAAAATATTTTTAGAGAACAGAGTTAAAGAGTACAGTTCTCACCAGAATTTAGACAAGCCCATAAATTGTTGTTCTTTAACTCATTCTGAATTTGCTCTAGTAAACCAAAGTAAAAGATAAGCAATAATAATTCTTTTTTTAAGTTGTTTTAAACGAGGGGTGATAGTTGTATCATTTTACCCCTAACTCCATTAAAATAGCATTATTCCTTTCCAAATCTATTACAAGGTCTTTTTTTTTTCTGTCATGTATGACTGGACTAAATAAACAAAAAAGATATTGCATGTGGCATTTTGGAACCCTTGTTTGCCTGTTTATTCTCTGCCTGCTCTATTTTAAGTATATTATGTTGCTGGCCAAGTAGAATACTGCTTGCTTTATCCTTATTTTAATATTTAAAAATTGGAACCTCAAGAAATTTGGGAGGGCCACCTAGTAGCTATTTTCTGTGGACCATGATAGCCTTTTTCAGCATCCTTCAGATCAAACAAGGTAAGACTTTCCTCTGTCTCTTTATGAGTGCCTCCTAGGAACTCAGTAATCACTTTGATCCCTTGACTAGAGAGTAGAGAATTCCCCACTAGTTTTCAGTGTCATAATTCTTCCAGAAATGGGCAGGATGAGTGATTTCTAACCAACTAAGTAGTGCTAGGAAGAGGGCAGCTAATGGCTGGTGTGGATAGCAGTAAGTTGGAAGGATATGAACATCAAAAAGATAAGTTACTTGCCAGACATGTTAATGCACACTTTTAATCACAGTTACTCTGGAGACAGAGGCAGGAGGATCACAACTTCAAGGGCAGCCTGGGCTACAAAGTGAGACCCTCTTGAAAAACAGGTCCTGCACTGGGCACAAATAGCTCTCATCTATAATCTTAGTTAGCGAAGAGGCTGATATGTGGAGGATCATGATACAAGGCCAGCCCTGGCAGAAAAATCCATAAGACTTCATTTCCAAAATAACCAGAAAAGACTAGACTGGAGTCATCATGGCTCAGGTGGTCTAGTGCCAGCCAAGCAAGCATGACATCTAGGGTTTTGTAGGATTAATGTGGCTTCTAGAACACTGCTTATGTTGTGTCTCCTTGGGCTCCTATGGAACATAGAAAATGTTATTCTATACTGACGATGGTACATGAATTGTAACAAGTTTTTTTGTTTTTTGTTCTTGTCAGTAATGGGTCTTGAACTTAGGACCTGGGTGCTATCCCTGAGCTCTTTTTGCTCAAGGCTAGCACTCTACCACTTTGAGCCACAGCTCCACTTCCAGTTTTCTAGTGGTTAATTGGAGATAAGAGTCTCATGCATAAGAGTCTTACTTTCCTGCCTGGGCTGGCTTCAAACCACAATCCTCAGTAGTATATCGGATTACAGGCTTGAGCCACCAGTACCCAGCTATGACAAGATTCTTAATACTAATTAATTTCTTCTCTCCTTTTCAGAGGTGGGAAATGTCAGGCCATTGGGCCATAAAAGGCCTGCAAAATCATTTAGCACCTGATGGAAGAGACATGTATTTTTGTTGTCAGCTGCCTGTACTGATAATTTTATATAACCCACGAATAATGTTAGAAATATCCAAATGGCCCTTGGCAGGAAAAAGTTTCTCACCCTTGCTAGCTGTTGAAAAAGAGGAAAAACCTGAAACTGCATTGCTTTAGCTAAATATAAAAGTGAAAATACATGGCTAAGTTGCTAATTATATAAAAGTTGGTATTGCCACAATCATTTTATTTTCTAACTTCATCCATGGCGAAGGAAATCATGTTTTGGGTGGAGGTAAAAATGCTCCTTCCAGAAAAACAGGCACTTGTATTCAAAAGACAAACTATATATTTTTTGAGCATTACACTTACTACTTCCATCAAATAAGTGATGACCTTTAAAAGATGCAATTTTTTATTTTAGAACTGATCATTTGTAAACTACACAAAATGATCCACCTTAACTGTAAGTGTATAGTTAATATTCACACTATACCATGCATTCACAAAACAATTTTTTTTTGTCTAGTCCTGGGGCTTGAACTCTAGGCCTGAGTGCTGTTCTTCAGTTCAAGGCTAGCACTCTACCACTTGAGCCACAGTACCACTTCCTGCTTTTTCTTCTTATGTGGTGCTGAGGAATCAAACCCAGGGACTCATGCATGCTAGGCAAGCACTCTACCACTGAGCTACCTTCCCAGCCCTGACTTTTTTTTAACTGCCTTGGGTGTGTGTGGGGGGGGGTGTCGGGTGTGTGTGTGTGTCAAGGGTGTGTGTGTGTGTGTCAGGGGTGTGTGTGTGTGTGTGTGTGTCAGGGCCACCAGCACCTAGCTAGCTTCTGTTTTGAGAAAAATATATACTTTTCTTTCTCTTTTGGAATTTCCCTAACATAATTCACATCTTCTAACTATGTTTTTCCCCAGCAAAAGGGGCTGTCACTCTTTTTTAATTCTGAAGATTGGCTGCTTTAAGTATATTTCTAAACATACAGCTTTTCTTTCTCCCACATAAAATATTTGTGCAAAATGTTCCAATTCAAGAATCATTTCCCTGTCTTATAACTTCAAATACTTTCTAGTTTTTGAAAACGTTTTGTGTGTGTGTGTGTGTGTGAAAATACCGTACAGAGGGTTTACAATTACATGGGCAAGGTAATGATACATTTCTTATCAAACATTGTTGCTTCCTCCTTTCTTTCCCTTTCCCATCCCTTCCCATCTTCCCTAAGAGTCTTTTTTTGCAGTCCCACTGGTTCAGGTTCTCTTCCTCTGCTTCATCCTCCAGTGCTAGGATTACAATTAGGAGGTACTATGCTTATCCCCACATATTTTCTTTTAAAATGCATTCCCCTTGAGAAAAATAACACACAAAGCTAATGTTGATTTATTTACTAGAGATGTGTTAATAGCTATTAATCATTTGTTATCTTCTTTACTAAAATTATAGCACCAGGGATTATAAGTATAGGGGCCAAGAAGATAGGAAATAACAAGAAGTAAAATAAAAAATGAGGGACAAACTTCTAAAGACGAAATTAATGTTTTTACTCGTGGGTTTTATAGCCAGTGAAATATTCTTGTTATGCTAGTTACTCAGGAGGATAATAGTTTGAAGTCAGCCATGATAGAAAAGTCTGAGAGACTGCATCACCAAAATAATCAGCAAAAACAAATAAAACAATCTAGAGGAGGGATTTAAGTGGTAGAACACCAACCAAACAAATTTGAAATCCTGAGTTCAAACCCTGTTACTAGAAGGGGGAAAAAAATGTCCAAGAAGTAAACCATTGGCTAAAGGTTCACTGTAAAAACAGAGATTATTCCATGTATTTGTTTTTGATGTGAAGAGAAAGCATACCATGGGAACAAGACCTTTTTCCCAGCATCCTTCAGGCACCTAGATATGCCCCTGTTCCACAGCAGCCTCTGGGTCTGACTACCATAACATAGGAGCTCACATAGGATCTTGTGATAGGATTGAACAAATCCTCAGACTAAAAGGCCAATCATTAGCTGTGTCCTTGACTGTGTTTTTTATAACACTGGATCATTTTTATTTCCTATAGAAAATTATTCTCTCTGCACTTTTTAGTTGTTCTTTTCATATTCTATCACAATAGGTCTTGGCAGTCCTACATTTAGCTGTGTGGTTTCAGTCATTAAAACTCATGGCTTTGCATGTGGCTGGTGTACTAGAGTGCCAGTCACAGGTAGAGAACAGATGCCCACCTCTGAGCAAACCATGAAAATAAGTAGTAAAGAAGGTTTGTGAAGGCTATGGGTTGGGGACTTTTTTTCAGAGTAGAAATAAAAGCCATGGGGTTGAAACCCTAAACATAAGCCTGGCATTGAGATCCACAGGGAAATTAAGATGATAGTCCCTGCCTTGAGACGTTCACTGTCTTGTGCATGAGAACACTTGGGAATGAAATCACATGCACAGCTGATGCAGTGAGTGAGTAGGGTGAGGATGAGGGGATGTATCTGCCCACAAGGACAAGGAGAAGTGTTGCCTCAGCTGCATCCTACACACAGAGGCCATCCCGACATTTTAGGTCCAGGAAGCCACATGTTCAGATGAGCAGAAGTATCAACAGTGGGACAGTAGAAGGACTAAAGTAGTCTTTTAAATGATTGTGACAGGTATACAAGGTGGGTAGCCAGACAAAACTGAAGAAGGTCTGACAACTGGGATTAGGTAATAGGTGCTAGGCCACCAAGTGCTTGGTGTATTTGATTATATAATGCCATTTGGGCTTCTGAAGGGGACCTGCAGGGGACAATGTTCAACAAACCCCTGTGTCAGGAATCCACTCAAACGCCAGTCAGAAATTCTGCTTGAAGCTATGAAATCCACTCTACACAGCAGATTTATGTCTAGAAACCTATAGAGAGTGGGTAAGAGCAAGTGGATCACAACAGAAGGTTGAGGAAGAGACACTCACACCCACAAGTGAGAGGATTAAAAGACTTTAGAATGCAGAAAGATTCTGGGAGAGAACAGCCATTAGCAGGTTGGGACCTGCTGGTGTTTCCAGGCTTCTGGCTGTGGTGATATCCAGTCAGGCTTCAGATGTAACTTTTGGCATCCAGCAACGTCTGCTCTGTGAACTTGGTGCCTGCTGTTACTGTGATGACACTCAGGTGTCAGATGAACTCATCAGCAGGTAGAGAGTCCAAGGGGCTAGGGGGACAGAACTATGTACAGACAGGGTTAAGGGGAAAGAGAAGCAGGAGAGTGGGTACCCTTGAAGGCAGTGGAGGGCGGTGTTTCAGAAAGAAGAAAGCACTTAAGTAACTGCCCTCATGCAAATTATAACAGCAGAGAGATGCTTTACCTGCCAAATTTGTCAAAATTTTACCTGTATATACACACTTGATAATACAGAGCAGAGTGAAATAAGATTGTAAAACAACATTTTTTTTCAGTACTAGAAATTGAACCCAGGGGCCTCAGTCATGATAATAAGCACTGTACCACTTGTGCAACAACCCTAGCCTTTTGTTTGTGGGGTTTGTTTTTGTTTTGGGGGGGTTGGTGGGAAGAGGAGAGCCTAGAACTTGTGATTCTCTTGCCCTCATCTCCCAAGTGGCTTCAAGTGTACAATACCCAGCCCAGCTTTGTTCTGGGTTTTGTTTTTTCTTTTGAGACAAGATCTCTGTGTTGCCCAGACTAGTCTCAAATTCCTGGACTCAAGTGATCCTCCTGTGTTAGCTTCTAGGGTAGCTGGGACTATAGGTACACATTACCACACATCCAATAGTCTCTTTCTACAGCATTTAAAATGGAGCTATTCACAACTAAGTTGCAGTTTCAAAATCTTCCTCTTCTACCCTCTGAGGATTTTTTTTCTGGCAGATTTTGCCCCAGAAGGAACTATCAAATATATTAAATTCAGACCACAAATGCAAAGTTATGGTATTGGATCACAAGCAGTTTGTATAGTGTTCAGGTGCTAGCTAGTTGATTATTTTCATTCATCAACATTATCTTAGTCCCGGTTGCATGTCCACCATTATACTGGGCATTTTATCAGACAAAAGTAATAGTTCTACCTATGTGTAAAGGAAATTCTTTTTGAGAAAGAATGTCTACTAATGAATGTAAACAGAAAGCACTGAAGGCTGAAAAATGGAGTAGAGAATAGCCCAGGGAAAGAACTTGGGGAGTCACCAGACATGTGGGGACCTAGAGTTGAAGGAACACTCTGAGCACATTAGGAGACATTAGATCATATCCAAGTGAGTTTTGACCCTTGGAGACTACAGCCAAGTCACTTCTGGCAAGGCTGAGGAAACTACAGCCCTGAGTAGAGGATCTGTCTGGTGGCCGAGCCTAGTCTTAATCCAAGTTTTGATATCTGTGTTAGTGCTGTTTTACCTGATAAATTGATAACTGTGTCAACATTATTATATTTTAGGAAGAAATAAATGACACATTTTGTTTGTAATGGTTCCCTTTTTCAGGCTTCCTCAGCTTTCACATTTGTTTAGGTAATATCTACTGCTTCATAAAAGGAAACAGTGTAGGGGAGGGTAAGCAGGTAGTGTAACCTAATTTATGTTTCATTTTATTTTTCAGCTCTGACGTTTTAACTCAGGGCTTTGTGCTTACTAGGTAGGCACTCTACTACTTGAGTCTTTTTGCAGACCCTGGCCTTAAATTCAGGACCTGGGCACTGACCCTGAGCTTCTTTATGCTCAAGGCTAGCACTCTCCCACTTGAACCACAGCACCATTTCTGGCTTTTTCTGAATAGTATATTGGAGATAAGAATCTCACGGATTTCCTGCTCGGACTGGCTTCAGACTGTGATCCTCAGATTTCAGCCTCCTGCGTAGCTAAGATTACAGATGTGAGCCACCAGCACCTGGCTCTTGAGTCTCTTTGTTTTGTTTTCTGATAGGGTCTAGCTTTTTGCTCCAGACCAGCCTTTCCTGTGATCCTCCTATTTAATACCTCCCACCATAGCTAGAATTACAGTTGTATGCCATCACACACTTTTTTCCAATGAGATAGGTCTCTCAGCCCCTTTTACCCAGGCTGACCTGGAACCTTTCCCTTCTCTCTCTCTCTGCCTCCCAGATCCCTAGATGTATAGGTGTGAGCCACTGACACCTAACAATATCTTTGAGTGAGAAATAATCAAAAGACATGCTTGAGGGAAAATATTTTATTTAAATTAGTACTGTCTTTCACATTTAAACGTTATATTAGCTGTACTTTATCTTGACTGAATCCACATTTTGAGTTCTGATCTTCTAGCTCCAGAAAGCCAAGAGACAGCACCTATCTGGCCTTCAGTACTAGTTCCAGATCTTTCCACCTTGATGTTCTTCTCCTTGCAGTTTCCCCTTCAGCTTCTTAACTGCTTTCAGTTTTTGACCTAACTGTTTCTCACTGGCAAGTTTTGTGCATGGTCTTGATCTTTCTCTCTCTCCTCACATGTTTACTTCATAATGATTCTGTCCTCATCTCTTTTTTTCTGTTCTGACTTCCTCAATCCCTTTCTTTAGGATTATTATTGACTGAACTCAAATAGAAGAATCTAGACAGTGTGATTTCACTAATGTGTGTTTCCCACTATTTCATTATCACATATCCTGCAAAATTTGAGCAAAAAGTATACATGTCCAATGAGAGAAGAAAGAGGGGTTTTGATTAACATCAGATGCTGTGGACTATTGCATCTGCTTTGCAATTACAGTATGCTTTACCCCAGGGGACAGTGGCAAAACCAAACCATGGCTGCAGAATGGGATAGTACTCTGTATATATAGGATTTTTTTTAGTCAGTGTGTGTTGTGGGCCAGAATCATGACAAAGCCGGTAAGTCATGGATTTATTTCCTTGTAAAGAACCCACAAATGATATTAAACCTATATATGACTTAGATGACTGTTACCATGGGGTCAAGCAGCTGTATGACCATCAATGATGTGCTTTTCAGATTAACTGATACTGTGTTTTTGTGTGTGTGTATGTGTGTGTGTGTGTGTGTGTGTGTGTTTATTCCCTTTGTAGCACGAGGTAGAACTAACATTGAACTTAGAGAGAAATTCATCCTGCCAGAGGGGGCATCTCAAGGAATGACTCCTTTCCGATCACGGGGCAGAAGATCCAAACCATCTTCCCGGGCAGCTTCTCCTACTCGCTCCAGTTCAAGTGCTAGTCAGAGTAACCACAGCTGCACATCCATGCCATCTTCTCCAGCCACCCCAGCCAGTGGGACCAAGGTATGTGCTGGCTTCCTTTCCCCATCTTGGCAGATGTCTATTGTTCAGGAATTATCTGGGAGACTTCAGAGAGAAAAGGAATCTAGAAACATACAGACCAATTCTACCTGTACCAAGTATGGCCAAGCCCTAGCAATACCCAAGCCTTAAAGATGACTACCAAGAACTCAGGCTGCTTATATTAGAAAGGTTTCCTTCCTTTTATTCCCAGTTTTGAGTTTGAAGACCCAGAGTTACAGGTTATGATAATCCAGGCACTGTCTGTACAAGATTAGCTTGCTGTTACATTGGGTTGTGAATGAGGAATACTGTTGCCTTTCTGCCTGGCCCTTCACATCCCATTGAACTGATATACATTTTATTTTGTGTCCTGTTCCTTTAAAATTGAGTATCTTTTTCTGTTCCCAATTTTCCATTTTCAATTGTTCCCATCCTTCCCTTTGGATTTCCATTTCACAGACTCTGTTTCAGTTATCTCGCTGTTATGACAAACCCTGGTTGGTAAACAGTAAAGCTGGCACTCCTGTCAGGGACAGCCCTTGTCCTGACCTCCAGCTGCTCAGCCCTGAGGTAGAGTATAGCTTTGCCAAGGTCACATGGAGGCACTTGCTCATGCCAAGAACCTGCCCAGCTCTTCCTGATATGAGCCCATCTCTCTTCCATCTCTGCAGTGCTTGCTGACATAGCTGATTCATCTGGTCAGATGTTTTCATAACTCAGATTCACCAAAATTGAACTAAGAGATGCCTAAACAGTAACATTCAGGGTGGTTCATTGTGGTCATTCCTGATTATTTGTTTATGGATACTGTTTATAGTTGGGCCCCTTGGGGCCTCCAAATGTTTGTACATCCATGAGGAACTAATTCTTGAAATCCAACTACAGCCCATGTTTTCCAGTGTGCTTATCTGCTTATAACTAGAGGATGGTTGGCACCACCCACCTTGAAACACCTACACAGGACACTTGGTACTGCTATATTGGTCCAAGGCATGGGCACTGCTGATTGCAGCCAACACAGTGTCAGTAAGCACTGCTCTTAAGGACTCAGATTTTACCTTCTGAATTCCTTGGCCCAGACTGGAGCCAAAGAGCGAGACCTTGTCTCAAAAAAAAAAAAAGAGGAAAAAAAAAGATAGCATGGCTTGTCTAATAACATGCAATTGCATCCTAGCTCTTACAGGAAAATGATTGGGTTCTTGTGCCTCAAAGCACAGTACTGCCTGAAAAGCTTCAGCCAGACAAGCTGGAGAGGCACAGAAGCCAATGGCTATAAATAAGCTGCTGCTTTGGGACTAATGATGCTCCCAGCTAAACCTCCAGTTCAAAAATCTATCTGGGGATAGATCTGGGGACCCACTGCCACTAAAACCCCAAGACTCAACCTGTCAATCTTTCCCTCTTTTTTATGCCTCCAACTTCTTGAAAATTTCCAAAGTTCCAAAATTATTACATCTGATTTTGATCTTTCACCTTCTCTAATCATTGGTGTTCGCTCACCCAGAGGCTGCAGGGCTGTGGGTTTCCAGCAGCTGTGGGTTCCCAACGGCAGTGCTCAGGAAGGATAGCTTCTGGAACCGGAACTCCTCCTAGGTGGCCACAAGAGTTCCTGCTTGAATATTAAATATTAAATCACTTCCTGTCGCTTTGGCTCCTCCTTTATAAAGAAATGAAGCAAAAATGATGAGATGGGTTGCGGGCATCAACATCTTAAAGGTCCTGGAAAACAATCTCCACAGTGATTTCAAAACAATTACAATAGTAACTGTTATAGATGATATTTAAAACCTTAAAATATTCTTCCTTCTCTAAGTTAAATCTACCATTATCTCAGAAGGAAGGGAAGATGGGAAAGACCCTATTCGTAGCAAATACAGCACCTACCAATAGCAGTAATAATAATGTGCAACTATTCCAAGATACGAAATGCTTTCACATATTTATTCAGTGAGGTTTTGTTTTGATTTGGGTTTTTTTTGGGGGGTGGAGGTCCGGTTGTGGGGCCTGAACTCTGGGCCTGGGCGCTGTCCCTCAGCTCTTCAGCTCAAGGCTAACACTCTACCACTTGAGCCACAGCGCCACTTCCGGCTTTTTTCTTTTTGCTTATGTGGTGATGAGGAATTGAACCCAGGGCCTCAGGCATGCAAGGCAAGCACTCTACCACTGAGCCACCTTCCCAGCCCTAATTTGAGGGTTTTTTGGTTTGTTTGGGTTTTTTTAACTCAGGGCCTTGCATTTGTCAGGTGCTCTGCCACTTGGGCAACACCGCAGCCCTTCAACAAGGTTTTATTAAATCACTCTCCTGTGCTAGACAGTTTTAGATGCAAAGGTGTAAATGAAAGCTCCTACTTTTTTTTTCACTGTTGGAGAAAGAGGCAGCAAGGAAAGTATAGCTTACCTCTGCCAGTACTGCACAAAAGCTGATGGAGCAGGAAGAGGATAGAAAGTTGCAAATGGTATTGAAGGGTGAGCTGGCCTCAGAGATCCATTCAGTAGAGTCCCTGAAGGAGGTGATGACTGAGCCACATGTGCACCAGGCGGAGTGTGTCAGGTACAGTAAGCAGCAAGGGGACAAAAGCAGAGGACCTCCCTGGGTCATTGGACAAACATCCAGGAGGCCCATGTGGCTGGGATGGACTGGACAAAAGGAAGTGTGGTAGAAATTAACTGGGAGTGGCAGGATTCATCCTTCACTTCCTGAGGGAAAAGCAACACACCAGCCACCTCATTTAGATCTGTCATTAAGCATAAAGGCAAAGCCAGGTCTCCTGACAACTCCTGCACAACCTTACTCCTGACAGTCATCAAATACCACTTCCTGTGCTGCTCATCGTTTATATGAGCCCCCAAGGCAAATCATCTTATCTACACGTTAGCAGTGAGGAGATATGCTAGGAGATGTTGACTAAAGTACTGCAGTCTCGGTATTGATAACCCAAATTTGTAGCCCCAAAAGTGGACTGCTAAGATTATTTGGATTTCTTTTTCTTTCTCATTTACCATATTTCTGTTTGTTACAACTATGGCAATATTACTATTTAAAGATTTTTATTCCATTTCTAATGAAAATTATCAGCAACATAAAAGGTATTAGAAGGCATTTTGAAACTTTTAATTGGAATTTTTAAAACATTTGAGTCATGAAAAGCTATGACCTCAGACACTTCTAAAATAAATCTTTGTTTTCCTGGACTTTTAATTTGCTTTTCAAATGATCAGATATGAAGAGGTTTTTAAGTAGACTTTTAATGCTAATTTCTATCAAGGACTCCTGAAGTAAATAGGATCTTTTATTGTTTTGAAGGTTATCCCATCAACAGGCAGCAAGTTGAAACGACCAACACCAACTTTTCATTCTAGCCGAACATCCCTTGCTGGGGATACAAGTAATAGTTCTTCCCCAGCTTCTACAGGTGCCAAAGCGAATCGGGCAGGTAAGTACCTTCCCACAAAGCATGCATTGGGCTGAGACATGAGGGCAGAGGCCAGATCAAGATATGCGAATTGGCAGCCTATGGACAGTGCTTCACAGGTCTGCAAGGAGACAGTGTTGAGCAGCATTTAGTGAGATGTCCAGAGAGCTGAGGGATCTTTGCTTCTCCTGTCACCATAGGTAGCTCTAGCACTGCCTTCTGAGAGCAGGTATTTCCATGCCCAAGGCAGGGCTCTGTTCTTCATCTGAAAGGATCCCAGTTGAAAGCATGTAGAAGGAAAACAGGACCAGTCCATAGTTGCAGCACACAGCTGGCTTTTCACTTCTCGAACACCTTGTGTTTGTTATGGCTGCTCATGAGCTGACGAAGTACAAGAGAGATTCTCTGTGCTTCCCCACTGAGCCTCCTCCTGGGAACTTAGGGATTTGGCTTCTTTCTCACCTCTGCTTCCCATCATTCTCTACCTCCATCTGCCAGCACATTGCCTCAGCCCTCACTTATCTGCGCTGAGGTGATTGAGCAGCACCAACAAGCCCCCTAAATCCACTTGGGGGGCCAGTGTCTACTGTCCTCAAGAAGCAAGCTTCACAGGAATCCACAAATTAGGACAGGCTTGGCCACTTCTGTGTAGACAAGGAAGCTAGACAATGAAGCCTCAGTCTAGAAAGGCTGGGTGAGACTTGCCCAAGGCCACCAGGCAAATTGGGTTATATGAGTGTTGGTAACCTCTGGTCATCTGTGCCTCCATCCATGCCTCTCTGTTAAGTCTTCTGCTTTATTCATGAATTTCAGACCCTAAGAAGTCAGCCAGTCGCCCTGGAAGCCGGGCTGGGAGTCGAGCTGGAAGTCGAGCCAGCAGTCGGCGAGGAAGTGATGCCTCTGACTTTGACCTTTTAGAGACGCAGTCTGCTTGTTCAGACACTTCTGAAAGCAGTGCCGCAGGGGGCCAAGGCAATTCCAGGAGAGGGCTAACCAAACCTTCTAAAATTCCAACCATGTCTAAGAAGACCACTGCTGCCTCCCCTAGGACTCCAGGTCCCAAGCGATAACACTGTACAAGCACCCACACCACTGTCCACTTCGAATCCTGCTCCATACATTGGGTGTATATTTATTCCGAATGGGAGAAGTTATATTGTTAAAAGTGTAAAAGATAATTGTGTTATGAAGCTGCCTTATTTTTTTTCCTTTTTGTAAGTTACTATTTTCATGTGAATATTTATGTAGATAAAATTTGCTTCCTGGTAACCCAGTAATGAATGGGGCCCAGAAATGAAATATTTGAGGAAAACAAGTGAAAAGGTCAAAATACAAATGTGTATTTAAAAAAAAAAAGCAAAGCAAAGCCTCTAGGGTTTCTGTGTGGTGCAGGGTTGTAAACCTGCTTTATCTTTTAGGATTATTCCTAAATGCATCTTCTTATAAACTTGACTTGCTGTCTTAGCAAGATAAATTATATTAAAAAAATAATCCTGCAGTGTTTAAGGAACTCTTTTTTTTTGTAAATCACAGTCACCTCAACTAACAAGAACTGAAAGGAGGGCACTTCTAGTTGCATTTCCATTGTTTTAATGTTGTGTGATTTTAGTCAGAGAGACAGAACCTCATCTAGGTAGTGTTTGCACACAATACAGAAAAAGAGTTCATTGCAATACTGTCTTGGGATACTGTCTAAGTACTCAGTGTTTAAAGGACACATAGCTGCTAGAATTCAGGGTTAAATGTAACTGTTCAAAAGTGTCAGAACATTGGAATTTTAAACTGATTTATAACAATCCAGACTTGTCACCAATAATTTTTATGTACCCTAGGACCCAGATCCTGGCAAGGGAGAATTTTTTGGTGGCATTGTAAATCACAGATTTATCTACATTTTTCACTATTTATTGAAATGGTCAATCAACATCCCACAAACTGAGGAATGAATTCCATGAGCCCATTCTGAAAATGTGGGTCTAAGACAAAATACTTGCTCGTCCTTTAACGGAGTTCACCAGCACACTATTCACCCGTCCCGTTTGCTCCTGTCTTTTTCTGTGTGTAATAAAGTCAACTGACCAAGTGACCGCAACGAGGGGCTGTCTGGGGCTCCTGTTTGTTAGCTGCTCTTCCTCTTCAGCTCCGACCATGTTGCTGTGTAATTATCTCAATTGGTTTTAATTGAGGCAGAAAACTGAAGCTCTACCAATGAACTGTTTAAAAACAAGACACACTTTTGTATTAAAATTGCTTGCAGTAACTAACGTTTTGTACTTCCTGATTTTCTTCTCCACCACTACTTTAAATGTTGTAGATACTTAAATACAATATTCAAATCACACTATCTCAATGGGTAAATTATTTAGCTCAATAGATTGTTTTTCTTGCTTTTTTTACTCTTGGTAATTTTGTTTAACACAAATATATTGGGTATCACTCTTTCCTGACTAAACGCATACCAATATAGAGGAAGGTGTGTTTTGTGTGTATATTAGAAATCATACCTGGGACTTGAGATAATGGGATCACACAGTATGCTGAAATCTGTTTAAAGGAAAGGATTTCAGGGGCTGGGAAGGTGGCTCAGTGGTAGAGTGCTTGCCTTGCATGCATGAGGCCCTGGGTTCGATTCCTCAGCACCACATATGCAGAAAAAGCCACAAGTGGCGCTGTGGCTCAAGTGGTAGAGCACTAGCCTTGAGCTGAAGAGCTGAGGGACAGCGCCCAGGCCTAGAGTTCAAGCCCCACGACTGACAAAAGAAATAAGAAAAAAAAACTTGATTTTAATAAGCTAGCTGATTAGAAAACAACAGGGATTCTCACCCTCAAGAACAATCTTTTGGGAAGCTGACTTGGGAGAAGGGTGATGTGGGACCTGGGTGATTGTAGCCAGTGCCTTCTCACAAGTAGAGACTGGTGAACAAATGACACATCAGACTTTAATTGCTTAGTCACTACTTATATAAGTCTAAAGAACAAAGATCAGTATACATATGCAGTCTGCTCTCAGGAGGATCAAGAGTTTGAGGCCAGCCTCATACATGGCAAGATGCTATCTTAGCAAACCAAGAATGTAGCTCAGTTTTGGAGCCCTTACCTAGCATATAAAAAGCCCTGGGTTTAATGGAAGATAGCTTGTTGCTAAATTGCCCACATTTGGTTCCTGATACTAAACTAGGGTAAACAACTAACTGTAGGATCTGCCCTGAGATCCTCTTGCTGATCACCATATTCATAGTATTAAGACTCAATATTGGGAGTCAACTGAATCTAGCACCTGTTTTATAGTAGAGAATGTGATTTCTGTGATATCACAGACTGCATGAAAAGCAGAAGTGGATCTTGAGTCCCTATTCATATCCAGCACTGTCTCTTTATAGCCCTTAGTTGGCTTTATAAAGTTCAGAATAACAGTTCTAACAGTAAATAGGTCAGAGAATGTGGACAGAGAGGACCCTAAATCCATAGCATCTGTATCAGGAAACAGATACATAGCAATGTATGTTTGCCAAAGCAACTTGGGGCAGTCAAATGTCCAGATTAAAGGAATGTGCACTTATGGATTCTTAAGGAAGTGCTTATTCTCTTTTCTAGGCAACTGGATAACCTCAAGCTGCCAGATCTTTGTATAGAACAGTATTTTTGCCCAAATTGGTTTCTGTGGATAGGCCTGGCAGCAGAAGCATGCTGGGACTAGATGACCTCCATCTTTTCAGAGACGAGACTATGGTCACTAGTTTTCCTTACCAAAGCATTCTGGTTTCCTTGATTTTCTTCAGTAAAGCTCTGGTGGTAGTAGCACGACAGGAAATGTATTTCCATTCATCAAGCACCTGTATATAATTACTGTTTTCACATAGGAAACAAAAAGTTAGAGTTGAGATTAAAGTGACAGCAAATATAAATTCAGTGTCTGCTAGGGCCTTAAATAATGTAATAATAGTAGCTAACATTTATTGAGTGCTTGCTGTACAGGCCATGGGGATTGTGCCAAGGTGAGAGGTTAAGTTGCCAAGGTCACCAAGTGGCAGGGGAATGCCATGTTTTTTACTTTTGTTGTTGGTCTTGGGGCTTGAACTCTGGGCCTGAGTGCTGTCCCTGAGCCCTTCAGCTCTACCATTTGAGCCACAGCTCTACTTCCAATTTTCTGGTGGTTAATGAGAGATAAGAGTCTCATGAACTTTCCTGCCCAGTCTGGATTTGAACCACGACCCTCAGATCTCAGCCTCCTGAGTAGCTAGGATTACAGGTGTGAGCTACCAGTGCCTGGCTTTTGTTTTACATTTTAAGTTTATTTTCAACTAACAAAGTATTTGGACATGTTTTGGAAAGGGCACGATGTGTTGATTGAAACATCTATAGTCTGGGTCATGAACAAATCAGAATAATTAGCATATGCACATAATCTTGAATATCATTACTTTTTATATTTATTTTAGAGGTAATATACAGCGGGGTTACATTAACATACATCAGGTAGTAAGTACATTTCCTTTTATATAGTGTTCCCTCCTCTCCCGTTCCTTCCCTCCCATCTCCACCCAAGAGTTACGTAGTTCAAGTTCATATTGATGATGTCCAGTGTACTCCACTGCTGCACTTTTTTACTCTTTTCCCTTGGATTCTGTGAACACCCTCCCCCCCACCAGATGTACATGTGAATACACCATATATAAGGTAATACAGACTCATCAGAAGAAAAAAAAAAGTCCTTTGTTTCCTTTGGAGTTTCAGCATGTGTATTATTTTATATACATATGAAGAGGCACTTAGGTATTGCACCTTTATCATTCTCTCCAAAGTATCCTCTTTTGGTCTCACTATATCTAGAAGCCTGTATAATTTGTCATATCCCTCTGGGAATACCACGTCTTGACAGTTTTCTCTTAGAAACTTCCCCCACTCCAGATGCCTCCTATCCTGCTTTCTGGGTTCCACTCACATGGACCTAGCTCCTCTGTCCTTCCAGGCACTTTTTCAGCAATCCTGGAGACACAGTTTTCATTCTGCCTTTGGAAATGACCAAGTTCCCCCACAGCAACTCGTATGGGAACTACTCAGGGGTAGGGGGGCTTGTCTGCCTCATCTCTGGCTTAGGGCCCAGTACAGAGCAGCCCACTGTGGTGGTTGCTGAATTGAATTGTGGGCTGAGGTGTTGGGAAGGCTAAGACCCACTATTTGGGTTGACAGAAAAGTGAAGCTGCTAAAAAGATAGCTGTCTCCATTCATCCTAAATTGAGATGAATATCTGTCTCAGCCTTAGGTTGTTGTAAGAATCACACTGGGTTGCATGTAGTCTAACATACTGCAGCATAGCCCAAAACACAACCAGAGCACCCAGGATGCAGGAAGGACAGTGAAGGGGATGTGGACAAGAGACTCAGAGCCCCTGACCAAGCTGACATGGACAACCCCTTGATAACCTTGTCTGTCATGAATCCCCAATTCAGCCTCCAGAACAGCTTTCTCTGGCCCTTCACAGCACCATCAGAGGCTCAGCTTCAGACCCTGATGCCATAGCCATAAGCATTCTGGCTCTGGTCTCACCTTGGGCTAAGCAGCATCCTCAGTGTCTAGGGGACTTACAATGTGGAAATTACCTGTTGTGAAGAAGAAAAAAAAAGGGAAGGCTAGGCACATGCTTTATAAAACATGGACAAAATGTAATTCCATTAAAGTTTGAGCTGATATTTAGATTTTGAAGCAGCCTCAAATCCCCATTGGGGGCGAGGGGAGGGTTAATTTTGAATCTACATGAGAGATACTACAAATATTAGAGGTCCATGGTCCTAGCTAGGTACATGGCCCTTTGTCAGCACCCCTTGACAGCCCCTCCAGCATTACCCATTTGTCCCTCAGCTCTCATGGTGCCACTTATCAGGTAACCTGCAGATGCCCAACTTCCCCACCCCCACCCCACTGTTGTGCAATTGAGAAAAGTTCCTTTGTTCATGCTTATAATAATAACTACTCAGGAGGCTGAGATCTGATGACTAGTGGTTCACAGCCAGCAGAAAAAAATCTCCAATTAACCAGCAAAAAAATGCTGGAAGCGGAGTTGTGTCTCAAGCAGCATAGTGTGGCAGTGGGGGCCGGGGCGGGGGGTGGTGAGGAAACAAGCCCCAGTACTTTCTCTCTTTCTCCCTCTCTTCTCCTCCCTTTCCCTCAACCTCTACGTGCTTTCATCTCCTCACCTGTTAAAAAGAACCACCATAAGCAAGGCCCCATAAAAGGGGTGAGGATTTAAAAGGTGGGTGCGCATTTGAGAACTGGTAAATGCTGGTGTACTTTACTTCTTGTAACTTTCTTGTCATTCAGAGCCAGTTTTTTCAGCCTCGGGGCTCAGTCTCGGACCCACTTCTACCTAAGCCCTGAATCAACGAGCGGCTACGGGAGAGCAGGTGTGCAAAGAGGCCGAATAAGTTGGGGCGTTTCCAGGAAAACCCTTCTGCAAGCCGCTGGACCCGACAATTGAGAACATACTCCAAGTATCTCCCGGGCGTCTGTAGAGGGTCTTAATTGACCCCGATGGAGGCAGGAGGCTGGAGGCGGGTGCGCGTCTCCAGGGCGTGGTTGAATCAGCAAAGGGTACAACAGAGCGCCCAGCAGAGACCGGCGGGGTGGGGGACCAGCGCTGCCCTGGAGAGCGGAAGCCTAGGCTGGGCGCCGCGGGCGCAGCGGGGCGCACTCGTCCGAAAAGGAGACGTCGGCCGCGAGACGCCAGAGAGGACCGCAGAGCAGACCCAGCTGCTGCCGGAGGGCAACGTGCCCGCCCGCGGGCCATGGCTGGCGGCGCCCGACACGACTGCAGGCGAGGGGCCCTGTAGACTCCCGCGCGCCTGGCGAGGCTGCGGGTCACGGGCTGGAGGGACCAGGACTCAGATCCCCGCCGGGGCGCCCGAGGACTCGCCCCCTGGGAGCGCAGGCTGCCGCTTTCCTGGGACAGCAGAGGCCCTGGGGCCTCCGGACCGGGCCCTGCGCCGCCCCGCGGTGGATGGATGGGGGACCCAGGCCACCCTGCCGACGCTAACGTCGGGGCTGCGGACCCCTCCTCGGGCCGGGAGGAGGTCCATCCCACCACCATCCAGACTCCGCTCAGGATCACAACTACCTGTCAGGCCAGCCGAGGCCCCAGAACAGACCGGAGTGGGACCGCCCTCTGGCCACGCCCCCAGGATCCCATTGGCTCCTCGGGAAGGGGCGGGGCCAAGGGCGACCGCGCCCTCCGCACAGACGGCCCCGAACGCGCACCGGCCACTCGCGGGTCGGAGCCGCGGGATCCCCTCAGAGCTCGGCCGCTGCCCCCGCCAGCTGCGCGGCTCCCGGCCTCCGTAGGACTGGCAG